CGAGACTTGCTGTTAATGTCACACTTGCAAGAGACTGTTCAACATTCTGACCCAAGCACTCAGATTTTGTACAATCGTACAATGGCCAACCTAGGTTTGTGCGCTTTCCGCCGAGGTAATGTTAAAGAGGCCCATGGCTGTCTAGCAGAACTAATGATGACTGGCAAACCTAAGGAACTGTTAGCTCAAGGTCTGCTGCCTCAGCGTCAACATGAGCGCTCTAAGGAACAGGAAAAGATAGAGAAGCAACGACAAATGCCGTTCCACATGCACATCAACTTGGAACTCCTTGAATGTGTGTATTTAGTATCTGCTATGCTGATTGAGATTCCATACATGGCCGCCCACGAGTTCGATGCCCGCCGACGCATGATTAGTAAGACATTCTACCAGAACTTGCGCGCAAGTGAGCGCCAGGCTTTGGTAGGCCCGCCAGAGTCAATGCGTGAGCATGCTGTGGCTGCCGCCAGAGCAATGCGCCGCGGAGACTGGCGCGCTTGTCTCAACTTTATTGTAAATGAGAAAATGAATGCCAAGGTTTGTATACAAATGTTTTTCTAAAAAAAATAAGAATTTTGTGCTACAATGTTTGACTGGTGATTTAATTAATTATTATGTATTTGTCTATAGGTCTGGGACTTGATGGTGGGTGCTGACAACGTCCGTGCAATGCTCGGCCGTCTGATTCGCGAGGAGTCGCTCCGTACTTACTTGTTCACGTACGCCCACGTGTACGCTTCGCTCTCGTTGCGTTCCTTGGCGGACATGTTTGAACTACCGCGCCAACGCGTTCATTCGCTCGTCTCAAAGATGATAATCAATGAGGAACTTCTGGCATCACTTGATGACCCCAGCGAGTGCGCTATCCTACATCGTTCCGAACCAACTAGAATGCAAGCTTTGGCATTGCAGCTGGCTGACAAGGTAAATAATACATTTCTCACAAACGGTGAAATCCATCAGTAAACAAGTAGTCATAGTTCACTTATATCATCTATTTTGACCTGATGTACTGACTGTAATTATTATCTAATTTAAATTATATTCTCAGAATAGATTTATGTATTAAAAAATTAGACTGGGATACAACTAATCATAAATCTTTTTATGATCACAGGTCGGCAATCTTGTGGATTCGAACGAGCGTATCTTCGAGAAGCAAGGCTCGTTCTTCCAGCGCGGCGGTGGTGGCGGACGCGGGGAGGGTCGCCAGCGTGAGCGTCCGCGTGAGGGCTGGAACCGGCGCACGCGCAACCGCCGCCGTGACGACGAACGTGGGGATGACTAGCATTACTATCGGGATGTAAAGAAAACCAGTCGATTTGTCTTATAAATTATGATTCCGGTACATTGATGTATCAGTACAGTGAGTCTACAAAAAATAAATCTTGCGGAAATATCTGAACATGTTTTGATTGCGGTCTTCTGCTAGGAAAAACTGTTTGTCTACATTCTCTTTTATATAAATAAATAAAATTTCCATGTTTGTATTGTTATCCTATGTGTTCCGATATCGTTGTTTACGTTACTCTTTGATGATTTGGGGATGCCCATGCAAGTTCTATTTCAGCTTTGTTTATTCTCAGAATCAGATATTTCCGTACTGTTATAGACAAGTTCAAATAAACAAACTACTGGTTTTCATTATAATCTGTCACAATAATCCAATTGCAACTTTAATTGTATGCAGTTTTTATAAGTTTATAGTATTTGGAATAACATTTAGTTTTGTCCAATATTTTATAGGTTTTATTTAAAACTATGTAAGTGGAGAGAAAAGTTAGCTTCATTTTTATGTTGATGGCTATTTACCTAGAACAGCAGTAATAGAATATAAATAAAGGAAAAAGTTAAAACTTATTAACCTTATTACTAAATTAATGGAAATTGCTATCTCCAGTTGCATTGTTACATTTTCTATAGTCGTCCCACAATCCGTTCGTTATAATAAAGAGAGTATATCTCTGAACGTAATGTTTTTTATTTACTACCCAAGCCTTGTCCATTGTCATTATAAAAATGGAACGTCACACACCCAGTCCCGAGTGACAACATCTTTTATTTAGAATATTTCTAACTAGTATATATTGTAAATATATAAAGTGTTTTGTCTAAAATTTTATCATTCAAAAAATGTGTGATGGGAAATCTTGTTAAAAATGCGATAGATTTCTAGAGCGTAGAATGACGATTGACGATATAGAAAAACGAAAGGTTAATCATTTTCTAATCTGGCAATGCCGGTGGTACTAGTCTCGAAACGTTTTGTTATTGATCCAAAATTATTAAAAAAATATGTACCAAGTTTTTACTTAATATTATTAATTTGTTCGTTTTTAATTGAGAAATAGATTTAGTTGTTTCAAAAGACATTTCATATTACACCTATTCAATTTCCTAAAATTTATGTTACGATGTCGCCTTATATCTTTCGACATGACATTATGACATGTCAAATAGCTGAGTGCTACAACATAACGTAGGTAGTGAAATTTTGTTGGTGTTCGTCGCATTTTGCCGTCAATATTTCAGCATTTTGCGAAAAATCCTATTATAACCTGGTTGTACCCAATAATTATGGTGTTTATGTGGAACTGTATTTAAATAATACTTGACTTTTTCAAGAATCACTGTGTAATATCTTAGGTTGGGAGTTTGACAGTTACTTATACAATGGCTGCAACGAGGAGACTACAGAAGGTGAGATGAGACATCATTTTTTTTATTAGATCATTATCTTCATCGTAGTCTTCTAATATAAATGTTATGCAGTCGATGTTATCTTTTAATATGTGTAACGTTACTCAAAACAACAATAATACATAAAATTGTTATAATAACGAAAAAATAATTATCAGACTCATGCACCAAAAACCTTATTTATTGATAGGTACTTGTGTAATCAGTCACCCAGTGATATAATATTAAAAATGTAATTATGTGGAAACTAAATTATATTTAAAGAATCAATAATTACCGGTTTTCGGCACACGTAAAACCTGAATCTTTATATAAACATTTTGTTTATTTATAGAACTAGGCCTAAATCTATGTGAAAAAAGACTAATGAAAGTAACTCTTGAGACACCTGAATCTTATCAATGTTTTCAACTTTTTCAGGAACTAAATGATATCAGGCAATCAGGCTTGAAGTCCTTCAGGGACATACAAGTAGATGAATCTAATATACTGACATGGCAAGGTTTAATTGTACCTGTAAGTATGATACTTATTAAAGTCATTTATCAACTCATTCTTAAATAAAATAATCATGAAAGTTAACTAAGCAGTATCATAACTATCTACCATTCACTTTAATATAGTGAGTTGTATTTCTGTTACTGTAATATTGTATTTTCAACTGTAATTTGAAGATAATAAAAATCAAACCATTGTTCTGACTTTAGTAAGCAGTGGCTATTCCTTAGGAAGCCTAAATAAAACAAACCAAAGACTTTATAGTCAGTCACAGCCAAAACTTAAATTTGACAATTTGTAAAACAGCATTAAATAAACTTATTGTTTTTATGCATGTATTTTATTATTACTACCTACACAATCTTATTAGATATCAATATGATAATGTTATTTTATCATAGGTATATATTTTTTACATTATCACATTTAAATGATCAAAGTCTAGTTCCAATATTAATCAGAAATAAAAGTGTAAACAAAGTGTAACATGTGTATTCAAAATTTTCAGGATAATCCTCCCTACAACAAGGGTGCCTTCCGCATTGAGATTAATTTCCCTGCAGAATATCCATTCAAACCTCCTAAGATAAGTTTTAAAACCAAGATTTATCACCCAAATATTGATGAGAAAGGTCAGGTTTGTCTGCCAATTATAAGTGCTGAGAACTGGAAGCCTGCCACCAAGACTGACCAAGGTAGGTTTATTTATTTTTGTGATATTTTCATTAATGAAATGTGAAAGCAATACCCTTATCTACTTGTAAATAATTTCAGTTATTCAAGCTCTAGTGGCCCTTGTCAATGACCCTGAACCAGAGCACCCACTGCGTGCAGAACTTGCTGAAGAATTCCTAAAGGACAGAAAGAAGTTTACAAAAAATGCAGAGGAATTCACTAAAAAACATAGTGAAAAGCGGCCCACAGATTAAAATAGCTAATTAAATCATCACTGTTTAGCTGAATTTGCAGTAGTGGAGTCAATGTGCTGATTTGTATTAATGTGTGATTAAGTTATGAATGCATTTATTTTCCCAAGACAGTATTTGTAAGATCTTTTGAGGTGGTAGAAGTTGCATTGGTTTATAAATACATTGATCACATCCACTTCTGTAGATTCAAACTAATGCTGCATTTGATTTTACACTGGTACTAGCTTTTGAATCACCTTGCTTGCAATACATACATAAGCACTATAAAGAATTAGATTATTATATAAATGGAAATCGAAAATGTTAAATGCCTATGTGCATTACAATGAGTAATAATATTTTATATTAAAAAATAGCATTCAATATTCCCAGAAATTATAGTCTTGCAAAGGAATTTATCACCTATTTGCTTATGTTGTTCCTGAAGACAAGTAGCTTTTATCTATGTAATGTTGTATGTAAACTATTTCTATGTAAATAAATGGAAGGACCTGTGGTAACTGATCCCTAGCCACAAGTTAACTTTTGAACAAATTGTCTACAAATTCAGACCATAGTGTGCTTTTTTACTTACACTATCAGTGTTGCAATGTGTTCTGTAAAATTACTTATCAGCTATTATTCATTCAACTATTGACTGGTTACTGGGTTGCACTACACATAAGAAACCTGTGTACACAATGTTACTTGGTAACTTCTGTGTGCTGAACAGTTCAGTGCTAACTTTAAAATATATTTTTTTCGAATTATTATGTTGTTTTATTTTTATTATGTATACAATATAGTCATATTATATCACAGGAAAACACAAAAAACATTAAAAATAAGGTAATAATTAGAATATGGACTTTATTTCATGATTATCAAATATTACATATTTATGTGCTTCTGTTGTTCATATTATGGTTAATTACATTTCTAGAAGTCCCATATTTAGTTCAATAAATATTTTGTTAGATTGGCTGTAATAAGAAATATATTTTCAAACAATAATATTGATAATAAAAGATTGTAAAAAATGCATTATTAGACTTACCATTGATTTTTTCAATACATTCTTCTATATATGAACTTTTATTCATGTCTTTAACCAGGGTAGCATCCAAAGGTAAGGTATAATCTGGACCATATTCAAGCCAATGACTATGGTCTGGTATCAACTCGTCTAAGTTTACTCCAGCAACTAAAGCTGTGAGGGATGTCCACAAACGTGCCGTATTATCATGCCTGTACCCACCTGAAAAGACACCAACACCTTTAAAATTTAATTCAATTTCATATTTCTAGATTTTTTTTATCAGAACCTACCTCCTCCTAACAAGAGTGTGGGTTTTCGTTTGTCAAGCACTTGGCGTATACATTTACTATAACTCTTATGGGTGAGGTTTGCACCACCACTGGGGTCTTGCCCACAAGCATCAGCCCCACATTGCACCACAATCGCATCAGGAATAAACTGAGTATAAACAGAGCTGAACACTCTGAAACATTCAACTTTGAAAATTATAATGACGAAAGTTAAGATTAAGATATGAACATTTAAATCAATTTATGTTGAATACATGCTGACCTCTCAAAAGCATACACTAGCGTATTATCACCATATCCCGCATGCAGAGGAAAGTTACAACTGTAGCCCATCCCTCCCTGTGTTCCAATATCATCTATACTTCCCGTGCCAGGGTAAAACCCGGGCTCAAACTTGTGAAAAGATAAAGTAAATACTGATTTACTCAAATTATAAGCATCTTGTACTCCATTGCCTAAAACAAAGGTAAGCAAATAAATATAAAAAATGTGTTAAAACAAGTAATAAAAGCATAGTGTCAATAACAGGTACCATGGTGTGCATCCAGATCAATGTATAATATTTTAGGGAACTTTCTTCTTAATTTTTCAATAGCTATCACAATGTCATTTATATAACAGAATCCTTCTGCACCAAATCTGAAATAATATATTGTGTTACAAAATGTTATAATAATTATTTTCTATCACTTAGTTTTATATTATATACCTATGTGCATGGTGCCAGCCTCCACACCAGTTAATGGCAACATCAGTAATACCCAGAATTAAGCACCTGGCTGCAGTAATGGAACCACCTGCTATGGTCGACACCAAGCCATACATGTTGGATACGGGAGGACAGTCATATCCTAGGAATATTTTTTATTTAATTAATAAAAAAAAAACATTTATATTAGAACTCATATATTAACAAGTACAGAAAATATTTTTTTCTTTAAGATTACCTGAAGTAGAAAAATAAAAAGTAATTTATAGTTTGTTTATAATTTCTTAATATCGAAACATATTCTTATACTAAATATGACAACCAAACCATACCAATGCCACATTCTTCGTCCTCCGCAGTAGTCATATAATCATCCTGAACGTCGGTAAACTTCTTTAGATGATCCAGATACAATTCTGAATGAAACTCCTTCAAGTCATTATACGTCGCTAGGGAAGATTTCACAACAGTTACATGTTTCAAGATATCGTAGGCTTCTATCAAATTGTGAATCATAGTAGCCTGGAACGAATTAAATTAATTAACATAATTTTATTGTTAAGAAATGTTTGTAAACAGATAGTACAATTTGTTTTTGTTTATACCCTTCCGGTTACGGCTGGCAGTCGATCGCATTCTTCTATTAATTTTTCGTCCCAAATGTAACATGGTTTTTTATTATTCATTTGTAATTTGTTGCCTCCAATATTATTTTATAAGAAAAACTGTCAAGTTTTTAATTCACAAGCAGTTTTCTGGTATTGCACTGTACAATTTTGGCGGGCACGGGCACCAACTTTTTTTTAGTTGACATTAACAGTGACAGCTTTAACCTAGAACTGATATAGAAACTGAATTTGATAAAAAATAGATGCTCAATACTCAATACTCAATATCTAAGAAGATTATATAAATGGCTCAATAAAAAAACAACGTCGTTTCTGGAAATTAAATACAATTAATTTGGGTAGGTATTATAGCTCATGTAATTTATAAATATATTAACAATTCATTAACTAAGTTGATAAAAATATATACTAACCTTCAAATAAAAGTAAAATCTTTGAATAAACGGCCCTTAACATCCATTCGAAAAAAACTGAAGCAGTTCAACAGGTAGGTATAAATACAAATGATGGTGATAATTCAATTAAAAATACAAATGATGGTGATAATTCTGAACGCGTTGTTTAAGCTGGTAGTAACACTTCAACACAAAACGTGAACGCGTCATTCTCTATCATAGACTAATGATGCCTTTCAAATTCAAATGATAAAAAGGTGATAGTTTATGGATAACATTTTTAATTTCATTGGCTCAAATATTTTTCGATGACCAATCAGAAGAAAGCTGCTTAGGAAAAACAAGCGTCCATTTTCTACAGAAATCACACTCTGGCTTGACATTTTGACATTATCAAAGAAATTGTATGAATTACTCATATTTTTTACTGAATTATATTGTGAAGTGGTTAATATTTGACTGTTCATAGTTAAGGTAATCCGAAAAACTGCAACAAAATGAAAAATACGTGACATCAAATTTATAAATCACATGATAAGTTCTTGCGATCCTAATATGACAAGGTCTGTTACAAAATATTGGTAACACGAGCCAGTCTGGCTTTGTTTTTGTCTAATTAAATCACTTCTTCGATGGTGTTTAGTGTTTTTATGAGATTGATTATCAAGTTCAAGTGGAGATGGTTCGAGGTTAGTATTTAATATTTACATAACTATACATAAAATTGTGATGATGGTCATGTTATGTGGTAGACATCCTTTGTTCGCGGTACCCGCTTCTGTCTGTCTTTTAATGCACGCATTTACAGTCACCATTCTTCACGAAATATGGGCGGCATCAGTGTGTCTTACCAATTTATAGCTTTAATGTTTGAGAATGCTATCTCATGTGCATTCTATGTATGAATTCACTTATAGTAATATTATATTATGGGTGCTACAACATTTTCTGAAGAATGCTGTAAAATAACCTAATTTTAATAATGCACATTATTTCTTTCAATTACATATTTAATATTTTGTATTCTTATTTTTTGTTAGTTGATTTTTATTATTTTCCACACACCTGACATGGCTGTAAAAAAATTAAAATGTTAACTAAAATATTCTGTACTTATTAACTATGTCTGTTAAATAGGCCATGTGATAAGGCCTATTAAAATATCAAAGTAACAACCACTAAAAAGTTGATACGTAATTATTTTGGTTTATCATGTAAAATTTTTAAAGATTCATATTTTTGTTGCATGTTGTTTAACCTTTTTTTTTGTATCTTTCTCACCCTGAAATTCCTTGATGAGTTGGCAAAAATTGGCATAGATAAAGGGAACTTACTTCCTACAGATTTATACCATCGGGTTTGGTTTCATCACTTGCATTCCCATTTCTTCTCTATTTGAAAAAAAAGGTTTGGGAAGGTTTATTTCCCATATAAAATAAAATCAATTATTACAGTCACAATTCCTATTGGACTTTGTACCTCTTACAAGTATTTCGTCTGAATGACTTCATTACAAAAACAAAAAATCTACTTAAAAATGTTTAAATGCAGCCCTAATATTCTGCTCTTAATTATATAACAGTAGTTATACATTTTTCAATTATATTTTTTTATAATACTTAATAAATTAATTAATTCTTCATAAAAGTATAAAGTATTTGATGGAGTATCCTCATCATCTTCTGCTAATTACTGTCACAAACTTATTATATACTTACAAAGCTTAAAACAATTCATGATAATTATGATGAAATGAATAAAAAGAATTAAAAATACAAATATTAATTAATGATTGTGAAATTCCTAATGAGAATATTGTTATTAAAATTGTTAAAATTCTAAACCAAATTTTTTATTGAATTTTTGGTCCTATGTCAGACATATTGTCTTTATATAATTAGCTATGTCTATTCTTTGCATGTATTTCATAGTAAAAGTAGTTAATAAAGTACTCAACAAATGTACTTAAAATCCTAATTCAAAATATTCTAGTATAATATTCTAAATCAGATTATTATACAAAGCAGTAAAGATAGTGCAATCATTCATTTGATGACTATATAAGTGTTGTATAATACCTTTGTTGGTATGGTTTCCAGCCAATAGCTTGATGGCAGCCCAGGAGGGTGTGAAGACCCCCCACCGCATTGAACTATGCGAAGAGAAGCCTGTCAGACCTACGCGCAACTATAGAAAGCGCAGGTAACTGAGGCCTTTTTTTCCATTTATATTCAATACATCTCCATTCCCTATATCATACATATCACATTTCGCCTATCTATGAAATCATAAGCACCAACAGTATAGTCATGGGTTGTTCATATTGTGGCACCATACTAAAGAACTTCCTAAGTACTCCTATTGTAATTTATATTATTTTATACTATGTAATTGTAAAAAGCTTTGGGAGATAAGTAATAATTTCTGGTTGTGGTTTTAATGTAAATGCAATAACTAAAATAAGTCAATGAGGTAAAAATCATATTATATTTGAATAATATTGTTTCCTTTAGGATAATTTCTTCAGTACAGCCAAAGACTGAGAATGCAGTAAATTCAGAACCTCCATTGAAGAAGGTTGAATTAAGGTCTAAGCCATTGAAGACTAGCAACGGTATTACAAACATGACGAATGGACATACGCTGAGGTCGAGAGCGGCGCGTGCAGCCGCCCGAGCCGCGGAGAGTCACAAACTTACTGAGTACTTCAAGGAAGAGCTGAAAAGTCCCAAAGTAGAACCTCCTCCGTCGCCGCCACCGATTGAGAAGACCATAACCAAATTGGAAAAAGTTGTGAATGGTGACTCTAACCACAAGTTAACAGAATACTTCCCAGTTAGACGTAGTGTAAGGAAGACATCGAAATGTGTCATGGCAGAGAAGATGCGGGACTTGGAGCGCGCTGTGAGAGAACAGAGAGAAGATGGACTGCAAGTAAGTCCCATTTGTTAATATTTGTGTATGTGGTTGATTGCTACCTTAATACTATTGAAGAATAAAGCTTCAAAAGGTGGTTTGTTTGAAGGGACAATTCTATAAAGTGTAACGTAGAAACAGTTTAAATTTAACGCTAGTCCTGAATTGACGTTACGGTTTCTCTAACTGTGATTAAAAAAGGTTACAAGTCTATTAAAAGCATAGCCCTCGTGTTGTATCCTCAATTTGCTTTTTGGTTGGTAAAATACATTAAATGTGGACGACAGTCTCTTCCCGCCGTTCCATTCTTGATATCATGTGCATTCAAATAAAAATAAATCCTTTTCAATATGAGTCATAGTCTGCCTAATAACGTAATCAGCGACGTCACAAGTATCAAAATTTTCCTCTTCATTAGTCAAGTAAAGTTCTATTTTAGGTCTATTAATTTCAATTTTCCACTTACACAATGTAAATTGCACCTACGTAGGTACACCGCGAATTTCGTACGTAGGTAATTAAAACTTAATTCCCATTAAATACGTGATGTTCGTACTTAATGATTGCAAGACCTGCAAGTGTTAAACAGTTCATAAGAAGGACAAAAATAAGAAATGTTATATTCAATTATTTTAACGAGATCTATTATACTAGTCCATTAACTACCGCTAATTACTTTGACGAAACTTCTCTTCAATGTAAGTGCAAACAATGCGATTTATTGTTTTATATTAATGCTATAAATGCATAACAAAGAATCACAATAAATCTATTCTTTTCATCAACATTTTGAACTTTTTAAGGTAATTAATTAAGTTTAATTAAACCATTACATCATAGCTGAAATCAAAATAATTCCCATGACGTTTAAACACGATATTCAAAAATATTTATTGACTTCCGCATTATCCATAATTCGTGTCAAAGTTTTCACATCAAATGACCTAGTCTCAGTAATTTTGAGTTGGTGTTACTGTGCCAATATCACTACCTTCCTTCCCGAACACTGCAGGTTACAAAATAGATAGATAAGCTTCAGTTATCAGTGCAACGACAAGGCCGGCCATTAAAACTATCTACCGAGTAATGAGTTATTGTGTACAGATTAACCTTACTAGAGTATTCTATTAGTGTTACACAAGATTAGTTTCGTAATCAATGCAGAATTATATAATTGATGGCAAGATATTGCATTAAATTCTAAAATTCTCCATCTAGCTTAAGTGTGTAGTGTTTTCTATAGCTTTCATAATACTGTTTAGGTTTTATGGTTGGCTGGCGACCCCTGTACTTAACTTTTATTGATTCGAGTCATCGTCGGTCATTCCTGTGTGCCTTATAAGTTGAAAAAAATATAACTTGAGTAAAATATAAATGTAAAATAATTCATACTTATAGAATCGATGCGCATCGATTCGTCGGGTTGAAAAATCACATACTTATTTTCGCTCATTATTATTGATGTAAAATAATCCTTCTGAAATAAGAACAAGACATTAGAATTCGCGCGTCTGACTGCAACTAAAGTATATCCTACTAATTTCAACAGGTGGCATATTTTGATGGCAAAGGGCGCGGTGTAATAGCGACCCGTCCGTTCGGTCGCGGACAATTCGTGGTGGAGTACGCTGGCGAACTGGTGGGTGTGGCAGAAGCGAGGGAGAGGGAACACAAGTACGCACAGGACCCAGAGGCCGGCTGCTACATGTACTACTTCAGACACGGAGACCAACAGTATTGGTAAGTATTCAATACATTATTGTTAATTAATTACTACGGTTAACTCGCGCGCTGATAGGCCAAAATATGCGGCGCTAAAGTTCATATTCATATATATTTGCATTCCACAATGTATAAGAGGTGTTACAGAATGGCTTAGAGCTAAATTCTCTAAAAAGTTATCTCAGACTAGCTACTGTTGCGCGGTTTCACCCGCTGCTCGGCTCTATTTAATCGTAGCGTAATGTTTTATAGCCTATAGCACTCAGGAATATTGTAGCTATCTATCAGTGAAAGAGTTGGCAATCCGACCAGCGGTTCCAAAGATTACCCCCTACATACAAACTTACAAATTTTACCTCTTTATAATATTAGTATAGATAATCATTAATAATTTTCCTGTACATGTAGTAGAGTACCGAGTCGCTCTATTTTGACTTACGTTACTATATAACTTTACAAAAATATAAAAATATTTTATGTCAAACATAACATGTAGTTAGACCCAGGTAACCAAGAGATTTTATACTTATATTTGCTGTATTAAGAACGATGATAATAAATGCAACGAATTATTGTGTTTTAGTGCGCCGCATATAGCCAAGTTGAACGGTTATGCTAAATTATGCAATACATTAAGCTCCTAACCCAAATAAACCGAATAGGAGTTAATATTTAATTAAAAAATATATACTACTTGAGCATACTTGATTTGTATGCCAATTGGTAAATATTATGATCGTTTGCAGTATCGACGCGACAGCTGAATCAGGTCGGCTAGGTCGGCTCGTGAATCACTCGCGCAATGGCAACCTCTCGACAAAGGCAGTGTGGGTGGACGGGCCGCGGCTGGTGTTGCTGGCGGCGCAGGACATCTCGCCCGGCGAGGAGCTCACCTACGACTACGGAGACCGCTCTAAAGAGTCACTACAACACCATCCCTGGCTCGCACTCTGACCTGGGTGAGCCTATACACACTTGTTCTTAACCATAATAATTATTTCCAAGTTTTAGAGCATTCAGGTTTAACAGAATTTGTCATATTAAATTAAATTCACATTTATCTCATTATAACTTCAAAATTATAAACATCGGAAATTGAGATATAAACTACAATAATTATTATTATTAGAGACAACAATTTGACAACTGCAAATGTCAAACTACAAAATAATGTGGCCAGATTTTTTAACATAGTGATGGGCCCGAGTACGATTTTTTAAAATACGAGTACCGATACCGTTTTTTTATAAATCACCCTGAGCAAGATAAAACAACATACGGTTTTTATAATTTAGTCAAATTAATTATAATAATTAAAAATAAAATTGCTAAATATAATTGTTCATTTCATTTCCGTGGAATGTACAGTCTCTGCATCCGATGCTCAGTCAGCAATGAACGGAGTTTTCTATCCAGGGTAGTATCAGTATGCCAAAGAAGTACTTTAGTACTGGCATGACCCAACCGTAGTAGGCACGCACCTTGTTACCGCCCGAGAAAAGACTGTTTAGAACTTTCCTCAGGTGGCCAAAGAAACGGACGTGCAAAGTTTATTTCATGAAGGCTGTATCGATGCCCAACGCTTCTGACTAACCCAAGTACTTATAGCTTTCGGTTTGGGAAAGGGATCTGAAGTTTGTGGAATCAGTCATTAGTGTTCCATCCGTTCTACAATCTGCCCTCTCTTTACGTGCATGGCTGCACATTTGGCCACACCAAATTCCATCCCAATTGCATTACTGATGATGATAGAAACCAATAGGCTAACTTCAGACTCGCCAACGTTGGCGGTATTGTACCAACCTATTTCTAGGCTTAAATTATGTTTGACATTCCATCTGTCAAAGTGCTGTGAAGAGAATGCCAAAGTTAACAATAGGTTTTCGTAAAATAATTATATCAATGCTAATAGTTAATAGTTTTACAAACGGTTTTCGGTCTTTCGGTCAATACCGGTCGCGGGACTTTACTACATATTTATGAAATGGAAAAAACTTGCAACACTCGAAATGACAAATTGTTGTCTCTAATTATGGAACGAACTATAGATAATTCTTGTTGAGTTAAATGAGCAATCTAATTAGTCATAGTGCCAAGAATGCAGAATTTGTGAAATCTGAATATAGCTTTAATACAAATTGAATAAAGTGACACACAATATGCTATCTATAATATTTATGGCAAGTAATATGATAGCAACAATCTGATGATTTGTACTTAAATAGCTTGGTGTGTGAATTGATATTATGCATATTTGTCACCACATGTCTTTGAGGCCATCCAAGCTAGAAGTTTATGAAAAAAGGAAAACAAGGTACGCAGATTAAGGGCTGGCGCTAGGCGACTTTGTTATCATCTGTGTAAAAACGTACCTTATTGCCATAACTTTTATGGTGTATATCACTAATGTCAATTGTTCAGAATAAGATAGTTTCACTTTTCCAACTAGTTACCCTACAGAGGCGCCGGCTATATATAGAAACCATAAGTATCTATTAAATGACAAAGTTTTAAGCATTCTACACTTTTTTTTTCAGGTATGGTCGACAAAAATCTCATTGGACTACTAAGAATTATTTATTAATTTAGCCTTAGTTACTATGAAGTTTGTTTGTTATAAAGTTTTATGTTGATTGGACATTGATGTGTTTAGTAGTGAGACAAGTGGCCTAACACTGGACGCTATGACGGAGTGGTCGGATCACGATATATAAACTGCCTTAAACCACTCGTGGTTATGTGACTAAGATATGGAAATAAATAAAGACAACTATGTAAAGAGGTTGCCTCAAAGCAGTTGCAGTTGTCTATGTTTAATGCTGTTGGCATTTGGCATGTTATAAGAAATATGTCTAGGAGACTGACTGAAATTAAAAGCACATGCGCTATATGCATATTAGCTTGACATTGATAAAGACGAGAAAGATAACAACATAACAACTGTTTTGAAAATCTCTGAGAATAAAGAGCTGTCAGAATTTGTGTAATGGATAAGATGTTGAGTTTATTCTGTGTTGTCTTTTTGTAGTATTAAAGTGTGCAACAGTATTTCATGTTTGTTTTGTGACAGGAGTAATCTCAGGCTCATAGACAACTAATGTGTACTGCTTAGTTTTAATTTTCGGGATAATAGTGTGGTCAGATTTGAGTTCTTTGAACAGCAACCCCTGTATAGAAAAGTATAACGAATCACGAATGGTATTTAGGGGTTGAGAAAAAAATGAGATTTATGTAAAATGCTCAGTGGATGTAAACTTCTATTAATGTCATTTTGGATGAGTAAAAGTTTCTAAATGATGTATTAGGAATTGCTATAATAGCGATTCCGTTTATGTCCACTGAGTATGGTTGACACTTTCAACTAGGTATCTTTAAACAGGGATATATTGTTAAACCAAATCGTTCCAATTTTATATGAGCTATTTTGGGTAGACTAAGTCCATTGTAAGAGATATCAAGTAGATAGTTCAATTGATAGAAAAATGTTGCAGTGTGCCTCAAGTACCAGTTGGTATCAGCTAAGTACTTGCTCTACGGAAGCAACGATTGATTTGTATGTAATCGACGACGTCGAATGTGACAAGCTCTCACTAGTTAGGATATGCAATCGCTTTGATGGCAGATTGTGCTCGCAAAAAACACCAACTTTATGAGCAATAAAACATTTGACCAGTGAGTTGACCGGGGTTTGACCTATTAAATACCGTTTAATGTAATTTCTAGAAAACATGGCTCTGGTAATGTCTATTTCTAGCTGTTGATCTCTTCCATGACGCGTTTTTAATTACTAAAACGCTTCTTTTGATGAATGATGCCTATAAGGTACAAATTGACCAAGACATAATGATGGTTGCAGACTGTTCTAACGTCAGACGTGCTACCAGCCACGATAAAAACTCGGTCACGACACAAACTCGAATAGTTTTCGTATTTATAAATAGTTTTTAATTTTTATAATAAGTGAATGTTTTACAGAAAGACGGTGAGGTTGTAAGAGTTGCTCATTGTGTATTAAAGATATTTTTAAATATCGATTCCTAAATTTGTCCCAAAGTCCAAATATATATTACGTACATTTTATTTATTTTCTTCATTTTCATTAAAATTCAACACCATTGGAAATGATGCTGCGATTGCCCACCGAAGTGAGAAATTAGGCTTCCATCCATTGTTACATCACAGAACACCACTACAGCAATAACATAGGTACTTATAATAGTTCTAGAATATTAGGCTCCATTTAACTTAATATGTGACGAAACCCAATACTCTAGACATGATAGAGAACAATTATTTTTTAATATTAGATTTTTGCAAAACAGAGTCAGTTTTGGCAGTATGTAATTGTATAGTAAATACACCAAACAATATAGAAATAATTTTATAAAATAATCGTATTAGACGCGTCGAGTGCAAAAATGTACCCTAATTACCCACAAATGAATGAAACTACATATATCAAGAGTCGCGTACTGTGTACATCAGGTGATACGCTTACGTACTGTGTACATCAGGTGATACGCTTACCTTAGCTCGTAAGTTCATAAATGGCATGAATGAAAAATATAATGCCAAACTACAATGTTGGGAATAAAACATTTAAATATTTTAATATGAAGTACCTAATTAAAAAAACATACAGTTTCTTGAAGTGTAATGTCTGCGAGACTTGTGTAGGTAATTATAAGCGTATGTGTGATAGAGAATGTATCCTCGATAGTAAGTAAACAAATACGGGAGTGTTGAAGCAGGGGAACATGTGCCCGACCTCGGTACAAGCGCCTTATCGACTGACCTGTCGGGGACGCGAGTTTGATACAATACATGTCAAAACAGAAGGGAATTTGTAATACTAAGAAATTTTTTATATGTATCGTAGTTTTGATTGTAAGTTATGCAGCTGGTGGGTAGCAGTGATCACCAAAAGAGTAATATATAAATTTATTATTGTTAATGATAATACCTAAAATAGACAGGGTTAGCCGGCCCTTAAGTTTGTAAAATCTCAGCTTTGTTTATTGATTTCTGCTTTTCGGATTTCAAAATTCGATGTGTTAATTTATAAGATTATCAAAATTAATGTGTAGCAAATGAATGTTAAGGCTGGCGACCCTTATAAGAATAATGTTATTGTACCGATCGTGCACTTCATTTTTTCTACTTGACATAGGTTAATGTAGCTGGATCGTGAACGTAGTCAGTACTATACGATACGCTTGCCGCATTGATGCCAAATAAAAGATCACAAAGTGAAAGAGTGAGTGTAGTGGTGCAATCGAAAGCCTTCCCCGAGTCCAGCCACATTACTGCGCTATACATTAGTGTTTCTTCGTAGTTCCTACTCCCTCAACTGTTACTGAGTCATTTTCTAACTAACCTACTCTTTATTGTTGTGTATGTCGCTGCTATTTCTTATAATTTTTATGTTTCATTATCTAATGTTGACTAGTGATGCTTATGTAAAAATCGTTCATTGCAAACCTCCTTAGGTATATAACTTATTTTTCTAATACTAGGAACTAGAATAAATAAATCATTGACTTGAATATTATTATTTTAGTGCATTTTGTTTTAATCTAAATGTTTGATGTCGCTATTTTATCAGTTTGCTCTACAGACTCATCTGTTTACATGTTGCAGCAACATAACTGTGATATACAAAACGCTATCATCATCTTCGCTAAAGCATATCAATGATGATGGCTGTAGTGTTGATATTATTGTTATGTATTTTTGTCTGCCTTGTAGATATTTGAAGACTATAGAAAAAAATCTGCTGATTGAAATGGATTGATATTATTTAATTTTAAATTGGGCCGTACTAAAAATTACTGTAATTGTAGTTCTATGAAAATAAAAGAAATATTTCAGACACAAGGGGAAAGGAAGACTGACAAAAATTATTGTCAGCTAAGGTGAATAATGAGGTAACCAGTCAGGTAAACCAAAGAAAATGACGAACTTGTGTCCTCGTGGCCCTATTCTTTACCTACCCTTTTTGTAGACGTTAAGTGAGTTTGAAATAATCAAATAAAAACAAAATATCCAGTGCAGCAATCATTAGTTGTGCACCACGCCCGATGGGCCGTGTTTTTATTTAGCGCTTATATTGTTGATGAATAATTAATATAATTCTTAGATAGATAAGCTATTATTTATAAATAATGAATAAATGATGTAAATGAACTTATTGTTAGACATTCTCCACTGCTTTTGTAACTGCTGTCTAGTTGAGTGCATTAGGATGTTATGTTTCAAAATGTGCTTTATACGTAAATTTTAATACCTAAGTAGCAGTTGTGCAGTGGACGTCAATTTAAATTTCATGTTAAATTTTATTCTCTTCATATTACACAATGATGTATATAATTACGTGAATGCCAATAGTGACCGAATAAAGTTTTGAATACATAAGATATATTTTTATAAAACCATTCGTTACTTTTCCGAATACTTTTATAGGACACATTTTATATTCCTTGTGAAATATGAAGCGATGGGATTGCAGAGGATTGGAACTATGATTATTATGACAGTATTGTTAACGGCTATTTTCCTAAGTAGCGGTGTTATGAGACTTAATTATTTATTTTAAATAAATGCGGGCCGCCACACTGCCCTAATTTTAATCAGTAGTGATCGAGAATTGGGTGAAATATAAAAAAATGAACTTTAAATTGTGTTTTAATTATTTATTTCACTGGTAAAAACGATAGTATTATAGCTTTATTAATTGTTTTAATAGAAATAAATTAGATTTGCCATGAAATGTTCTCAACCATTTCCTTTAGAAATAAATATGACAATATAGTATATTAACATAAGCAGTCTATAGATGCATAAGTAATAATTATATACATACAATAGTGAGTGATATTAACCGATGGTTACGTTATGATGCAATTTCAGATAGTATAGCTGAGCTTGAGACTCAAGTTCTTGCAGAGATTTCACGACCGGCGCCATTTGGCTCACGTGATCCTGTAAATTATAAAAGATTTTCTATACATGTATAGTATACGCTACACCTATGACAAAAAACATATGGATTATCGTGTACAATAAATAATCGCAAGTAAACAAAATAGGTTAGGCTGTTTGTGTATGTAAAATTGGTTTTGAATCAAGCATAATGTAACATGACAGAACGAAACACTCTTCGGATATTATTAGCTGCCATTTACTTCAAATGAAAAAAAAAACTGCAAAAATTCAAAATAATAAAATCACTAACCTGGTATCCAGAGCCAGTTTGCTTCAGCTTCTGTCCATAGACTACTTTACCGTCAAACTCGTTAGCGGGCACCTTCATGTCCGTAGCAATCTGCTGGATGGTGATCGTCAGATGGTCTTCGATGTCGGCCAAGTACTATAACAAATAAATAAATATATTGTAGCATACGCCTTTAACAGATTTTAATTCTTTTATTGGCTTGAACAAGATGAAGAGTGTAGGAATGTATTTATATTATAAACAACACGTAAAAGTGCTCGCTGTTGAAAAGTGACTAAATAAGGTTACCTGTGGTTCATTGTACCACATGCAGCATCCTCTAGGATGGTCGTCGGTGAGGTTCGTGTTCCAACAGTTTCGGCCACGAGACGAGCACCACTCACCGTGGTACCACACCTACAAAAAAGGTTCAATGTTTCGTTACACTAGATCAGACAAATGATGAGAGAGAGTAAAACATGTTGATGATGGAAAATAATGAAAGATTGGACGACTATCTTCTGGTCTTTGTGCGATGTATTTAGGGATTTGTATGTTTGTCTCAAGACGCAAAAGATCATCTTAGTACTTAACACATGTTTAATAATAAAATAACATGCAATCATATTTTGACGACATTACACAAGACAAACGATCGTTCATATTGAATAAACAAATTACGTTATTTACTAAAAAAAAAACAGTTTATTTGATGTATTGAGTATGCATTTACCTTCTCTGGGACAGTGGATACCAGACTGATAGCGAGGCCCATACGTTCCGCACGACCGACACGACCGATGCGGTGCACGTAGTTCGACTTTTCGTCCGGCAGCGTCACGTTGATCACTGTTTAAACATTAATCTTACATAACACATGTAAGTATACAAAATATTAAATGGTATGGTCCAAATGCTATTATTAAGACTTCACATCAATACCTAACCCATATTTATATACTTGTAGATGTGATCCATGTTTTTAATTTTTTTATCGCAAATAACACAAGATATATCCTTGTTTGTGCCTGTTTTGCCACAAGCGTGTGTGATGTGCGTGTGTATAACTATTAACACTTACTGAATGGCAGTCCAGATATATCAATACCCCTTGCAGCAACATCAGTGCAGATCAGGAACTTGACTTGGCTAGACTTGAACTTCTCCAAGTTGCCCTTACGTTCAGCCGGCTTACGGTCTCCGTGCAGGCAGACACAACTGAACTCGCTGCCGTATGACTTTAGGTACCTTTCCATGTTATCACAGTCTAACTTGGTGCGGCAGAAGATTATGGCTCTGAAAACAAAATATAACTTGTTGGTGGAGTGTCAAAAGTCGATCATATTAAATGGCCTTTTAAGATCACTGGTAAAATAGTGCGTCCACATCTATCATGGGGAATTAAATAAGTGCAAAAAGAAAATGGGATAAAACTATTTTAAGGGAGGCCAGTCTACATAATAGTAATATGATGACTAATATCCATTTAAACATTCCATCCTCATTTTATCCTCACCTGTCCATCTTATGTTCCCTTATGGCACGTACGCAGTACTCTCCCTTGAGGATCTTGACCGCTTCCGACAACGTCTCCGGAGTTGTATTGCCACTGCGGATGTTGTCCTTTGAGTGGACGCCGTCTGTTTGCACGTGTCTGATAGAGAAAAATACATGTAACGGTTTATACAAAAAAAAACTAACAATATAATATAGTACTTTCATAGTTATCATCTACCAGTCCATGGCCACCCACACATAATTTTCTACAATATTGCACAATAGTCAACCTGGGATTGTCCTTGGGTGCACTTTTATAGTGCATACAGGAACAATCGCACGCCGCCACACAAAGTTGTTGTATGCCTCCTAAAGGTCCGGGACCCTGTGGTCCCGTGAATGGAAGTGAACACACAAAATAATACAATGGAAAGCCAAAGTTATTTGAGTTCTTAGTATTATCTATATAATATGATTTTGTAGCCTTGTGATTTTTTATCGCTGGACATTTTAAAACTTATTTTTACCATCATCAGAAATAGAACTTACTTGTGTAGGGTTTCCCATGAGCGGTCCTTCTGTGGATCCACATTCACGACCACGTGGTGCACTGTCTCGGGCACTGAGTCCTCGCCTTTAAGATCTACCCAGGTCGGGAAGTGCATTAGTTTCTCCTGGGAAATTGATCAAACTATTACAAAAAACAGCTCTTCTTTTTAAATTATGTGTTGTGTTACATACACGTAATATGTGAGAGAGGAATCCTACGGCTCCAACGTGCCAGCTCGAATGGAATGATACCACGGCCTAACAGAATACCGGTGTGAAACAACACTTGTTGTTGAGCTTCACCGCCTGAGTGAAGTTTCCGGAGAAAACCTTCTACACCAGCCAGAATGCCCAAATCCCCTACCACTATATGCTTAATAACCCATAAAAGGCCGTCAACGCACTTGTAGTAACTGCGTTTGTATACCATTCTTTGGGTTTGGGTCTTACCATCCGGATGGCAGTTTGCCAATCTACGCCAAAAAAAATCAACATTAGTAAATGTACTTACCGCCATCTTCTTAACTTCGAAAGCGTGAAGAGTGGCTGAACAGACAACCATTTGCAGTCGACGTCCATCTGACGTAATCTTAGGGATTTGCCTATGTAATCGCTCAATCAGTTCTCCGTAGCCTGCCTTCAACAGACCATCAGCCTCATCCAGCACAAAAAATCGACAGTGGGTCAGTGCTAAATAACCTATGTGAAAAGATTTTGTATCAATATTACAAGATAGGTCCTTGATTTTCTGTAGATATATTTATAAACAATGGAATTCACAAAAAAGTAAACAAAATCTAATTATATATTACCTCCTTGAATCAAATCTTCCAGTCGTCCTGGCGTTCCAACAACAATGTCTATGCCAGCATTTAGTGCATTGATCTGATCCTTAACATTTATGCCCCCTACAACCAGTAACTCACGAATCTTTGGATTCTCTAAGTACTTCTTGAATTTAGTAATCTGATTGCATGTTTGCTCTGCTAATTCCCTGGAAGGCTATATAAACCAAATAGTTAGATTATTATACGATAGTCATAAAAATCCTGCTGCAAAATATCGCGCCATAAATTAAAGCACTGTGTTGATATATCTTTCTAACTTAAGGTTCAGATTTTTTTACTATTATAAAGAAACATTGTAACATTGATTGAAACCATTAAAAGAATGATAACTCACCTCAATTATGATACACCTGGGTGCATTGTTGGCTGGTGTGGCTTCTACAGCACTGTCGGATGACACTGGATTCACTTTCATACAGTCTTTGGGAGCTGATGCAATAGCAACATACTCTGCAGGTGGTGGATACTAGATGGAGATACATAGATTATTCATAAAATTACAATATAATATGTTCATCCTCTCTATCCCTTTTAGGTAAAAAGGAGAAATGAAAAACAAATAGTCAAAATAATGTTAAACATCTTACATATTGTTGGTTTTCTTTTAGAAATGCGAAAAATAATATGATCCTATTAAGTAAGGAATACTTGTAAAAACATAATTGACCTGGCCCCACTCCAAAATCTAATATCATTAATAAAACTTAAGGTCATAAAATTTTTAAAATAATGGTTTGAATGGCAAAGATTTTTTTAATGGCGTTTTAATTTTAATGTTTAATTTTTTTAAATAATATAAGCAATTATTACCTTAAATGGTGTCTTTCCAAAATTAAAGCTCATCTCGGCATTCTTTAGTACAACAGCTGGGAAGTAGCATTCTCCACGTCTGTTTGGGTCCAAATTGAATGCAACTCCAAGGTTCACACCATTCTTAGTGTAGCTAATTTCACCAGTGTTTAGATTAAGTAGACATCCTACAGGTAAAACAAAAGGAAAGAAATGTTAAAATCATTCACCAAAAAGGTAACTTTGATCAGATTTGATAGAGATATTCAGATGAATGATCTATCTAAAAATTCAACTAATAATTTAATTATTAGTTGAATTTAAGATAGGTAGTATTATTGGATTACACAGCTCTTATATACTGAAAACTAAATGAAATTTGTTTTGTTTTCAATATTATATTACCCAACAACATACCTATAACATCATGCATTCCAAAAGGTTCACCATAATCATTAAAGTTTTTGTTATTTGACTTCTTGCCTGTGCCTCCAAATCCATATCCCATTCTGTCAGTACCAAGATCCAGCCTAGCCTGAAATACAAATAAATATATTTTAAATTTTCAACAATAATACATACATTTATATGTTTTCAAAGTTCTTTAAATTATATTTTGACATAATTGTAGTACTACACAAAACAATAATTTGTGATTCATATAAATAAAAATATGGTGCAATGTGCCTGAAATGTTGTAATTGACTAATGCTGGATGCATTTGTGCTTTCTTGACTAAGAAAGCAAAAAGGCAATATTAGACACCTTTACATTTTTTTATTTAGGTGAAGATTTTTCTATAATATATAACTTACAGCCTGTGTAGACCAGCCCACCCGACAGAGACCTTCGTCTGTGACAGTAGCCTCGTAGTAGTAAGCACCCTTGCTATGCACACCTTTTGTTGCCCTACACCCATGCCAGCCTTTCGGGTCTCGTGACTGGCACCTTAGACCGTCTGGTGTCACCGCAAGCGCATCATTGCGGTCAAAAAATGACATAGTTAATTCTGTTGAGATCGTCTGTATTATCTTACTCGTCTTCCCCTCTTGTATATCTTTCAAGGTCTCCCAGACTATTTGTAGGATTGGTAAACAGAAAGCTCCAGTCTTGCCGCTACCTGTCTCAGCTGCCATGAGCACATCTCCACCACCTAAGATTAGAGGTACGGCTTCGGCTTGGACATCTGTTGGCAGTGTCCAGTCCATCTCCTCAATCGCCTTCCCGAGTTCGGGGAGGACGCCAAATTCCTCAAACGCAGTCATTTCAAGGTTTTCTCAGAATTTGAAGAACAGAGTTTGAAATCACACAAATACTTCAACTGGAAATCACCGAATTTATTATCGGGAAAATGTGTACAGCTATCTGGAGCTTTGACAATACAATATTTGGCATTTGTTGGACTTGACAGTTGACAATGAATGAATGTCAAATTAAACACCAATAAATAGCATAATTCGTATTTGTTAATCATTAATTTAATAAATACAGCTTGATGCAAGGATACAAGTACCTACTAAGAGAAACCTGGATGTTAGTTTCTTAAGATAAAATTGTTAAATTATTTTAAAAGGCTCGTAATCCACAAATTAGAGCTGATTTAATAATTCAATCTCGTCAAAAATAATGTCAGTGTCATTTCAACGATGTTAAGTGTAACTGTCAAACACAGAGTAACCTAACTTCCCGGGATGTTATATTTTTAGTTTATAAGAAAAAATGGAATTAGAATTACTCCAAAATTCACAGACAAAACAATCGAAAAAGCTTTCTTCTACAGGAAAAATATTAATTTATGTTACGGGTGGTCTAGCGGTCGGAGTGAGTGTTATTTGTGTACCGTTTGTAGTACCAGCACTGAGAAAAATATGTTTACCATACGTCCCTGCAACTACTGAACAACTTGTTGGAGTTAGCAAAGCATTAGCTGGTCGTACTGGAAGACTACTGGACGTTGGATCTGGAGATGGAAGGATCGTGTTTACCGCCGCCAAGCTAGGCTTTCAAGCCGATGGAGTAGAATTAAATCCATGGTTGGTGTACTACTCACGGGTCGTAGCTGTACTAAACCCTATGTACAGAGGCAGCAAGTTTTACAGGCGTGATCTGTGGAAGTTTGACCTGAAGCCTTACAATAACATAGTGATATTTGGTGTGGAACAAATGATGAATGACTTTGAAAAGAAATTGATAAAGGAGACAGATAAGGATACTGTTATAGTAGCTTGTAGGTTCCCTTTGCCAAATATGATACCAGTAGAAACAATAGGTAGTGGTGTGGACACTGTCTGGAAATATGTTGTTAAAAGATAAAAAGAAATTAGAAACTTACATAGCTTTATTTATTAATAGTTATATACATTGTAGATAGTAAATAAATTATATAATATCTAGAAGCGGCCACTTCTTTTCCTGCCTGTATATTTTGTGTCAGGTTTAGTGTCTTTGCCTTGTTTCCTCCTTCTTTCTTTTTTCTCCATTATCCAAGCTCTTGTGTTTTTGACTGGTTTACCTCGGATATTTCTTGTGGCTTCTCTTTTAGCATATTTCACTTGAAGATTATTGTCAGTTTCTTCAGTACCTAAGATGAAACAAAGGTGTAAAAATAAATTAACATGTAATTTTTGTAATTGATTTCTGATGCCCCAAATAAATTGCTAACACACTTCATTATTACTAAAGCAGTTTTAAATAGTACCTAACAGTTAAATTATTATTACCTAGTGCTTGAGGTAATGGTGCTGATCCACCAGTCATTAGAACCAAAAAGAACTTCTTTGCTTTGGCAGAATTTGGAAAATCTACAACAACACCACCATAGAAACCAGCTTTCATTGCTTGTGAGGTTACAAGCTCCATTTGACTCTCATTCTCTGGGTAGAACTGGAACACAGCTCTGGCTGACCTGGACTGATAAAAAAAATAAGTTCTTTGAGTCATCAAATATTCTGTTTTGTCTATAGATATGAGAGACAGCCATGACTATTAAAGGTATTTGTAATAATTAATTTACTTACCAAACAAGCATACAGGGAACTAAAGAATTGATGCAGCCTTTTGACTGGCTTGTGTGACTTCTTGTCAGCGTTGAATAGCCACTGCAAGGCTGACACTGAGACAGCACCATCAAAACATCCTGCTCTGAATGGCACTCCTTCACCCATATCTGACAGCACCAAGTCACCCTCTGTTTCCCGTTCTTTCGCCACATCTAGCAGTAAACATTAAATATATTAAATTATAATCAATTTAAACTCTTTAAATCTTGATGAAAAATAATATTTCATTACTTACCAAGCATAGCAGGTGAGATATCCATGCCAATCCACATATGTCCACTTTCTTCCAGGACAGTACCAGATAAACCCGAACCACATCCTATGTCCAGAAGCAGACATGGTGTATCTTCCGGTAGTAGTAGCAATTCTAAACATCTCTCTGTCATCTGTGCCTGGATGTCCATAATACGCGAGCTAAAAAATTAAATGATCAGTATTAAGTACATTACAGGAAGTAATTTATTTTCTGAAATAATTTGCACAACTTACTTTTGTGTATATTTTCGGGCTTCATCTTCATTGTAAAACTGAAAATAACAAAGATTATTTAGGTAAACAAATTATGTTTTTTAACTGAAATGCAACTATAAAAATATTATCTTACCACTTCAGGTGGAGCTTGATGTTCAGGTCTTTTCGACATGGTTATGAGTTAGGTATTAATGGCAAAGAAACTATTTATTAGATAATAAAAACAATTTTATTCACACGAGACTTAACCTAAAACTTAGAACGTCAAAGTTTTGACATTGACATATTACGTCCAAAAATTTGTTGACGTTATTGTGGTACGCTGTAAAAAACTGCGTTCCAACTTCCATAATTTGCATTTGTTGCCAAATTGTTATCCTCTATGATTTGGTGTAGTCGATTTTTCTACCTATAGACACTTTTTGGGAATACCTCTAATTTTTAACAACCAGTTTGTCTAGATATCAATGTCAAAATAGCGCGGGAGTAACGAGGATTTATTTTTATTTATTATCTTATCTTATCGTTATTATTTCAGTTCCTTTTACTCCACATTACTTGATTGAAATATTATGTTAGCAATATGCGGAAAACATTAAGCCTTAAGAAGGTAAATTTGAGTTATTTAACGAGCTTTTTTAAATTCTTTACATTAATTTTATTTAATCTTTAATTACTACCAGGCAGGGCCTTCTAAGAAACAAAAGTCTATTACAGACTTTCTTAAAGGTGCTACTAATGGTGGTAGCCAGAAGCTACCTACTGCGAATAAAATAGATGTCGAATTAGAAAAAACTAGTGATAACAAAACTGTCAAAAGAAAGGCATCGTCGCAAATTGTTGATGAAAGCGATCTTGAAGAATTTGACAAAAAACTAAACTCGCAGCATGGAAGTTTAAGAAATACTCCGAAAAAGTGTAAGACTGAAAATAAAATTAGTTCACCATACTTTAAAACTAGTCCTAAGAAGAGATCACCGAATAAGGAAAACATTTTTACTAAGACAAAATCTCCTAAGAAGAATCTCCTGATAGATTTTGATGGAGTTGGTAAGAGTACTAAAGAGGCTGACAAATCGTCACCTAAATTGGAACAGACTTGTCCCACCCCACCAAATGCTAAGAATAATATAGAAAATCATGTATTACCTGGTAAAATCAATAATGGTATTAAAGACAAATCATGTATATTTCAAAATGGAGATAAATCAGACAATAAAATAAAGGTTGTCACCCCAAGTAAACTGTCACCACATAATAGTAATGGTCATGTACTCAGCCCTAAATTGAGAAGGAGTAAAACACCTAAGAAAAGTCCCTTGCAAGGTATGTTTCTATGTTTATGACTATAATATACTTTAAAACAACTACAAGAAGTTAACTGTGCATGTAGGTATAATTTTTTAAAATAATTTGTTACAGTCAACAATAGGCAACTTGGCCTGACTAGCCTAGGTGAAGTCCCTGTGCCAAGTTTTATCTAAATCCATTCAGTAGTTTTTGAGACAGAGTTACAAATATAATTCATACATATCATATGGATATCAGTTGGACTGCTTAGTATTCAGTCCAGCTAAGGAACTTCAACAAAAAAATAATAATTTTTCAGACTATATTTATTTTATTAATAAAAATCGATCTAATATTAAATTATTTTCAGTGCAAGAATCTAAATTTAATTTAAAATACTACTAATAGGAGTTCTTTTGCTCTCCAGTCAATATACTAACAACTCCAGAGAAGCTACTCAAGGAGGTTTTATCTCCTTCTAAAAGTGGTTCCACTGTCAAAGTGCTAGATTTTGGGTCTGACAACTTCTGTGATGATTTTGGAGATGAATGGGACCTTAATGACATGGAGGAGGTAAGATAATGTATTATTTTTTAATATAACTTCTACATTACATCACACATAGTTTCTTTTTTATTGTGTAATTTAATTTGGTCATTGTCACATTGAAACTACAGTCAAGATGTTACAAGTCTTGTCTTGAAGCAAAAGTGAAATGACTCATACTGTGAAGACAACAATTGAAGTTGAATTAAGTGATTCATTATATCCCATAATTCAAATAAATTATTATTTACGGTAAATTTTACTAGACAGTTCAAAGATAACAAATTTTGACTCTATGCTGTTGGCATACAGTTCCATTTCCTTTAATACAAATATAATCCTGTCCTGTTCTAAGAAAAAGGTATAGAAGCAAAAGGTTCTTGTCTCAATTTTATTGCAATTTGTACATATTATAAAAGGTGCTGGAAAAAATGTTACAGGATGGCATAGAAAACCTAGATTTAAGTACAATGCAGCGCTGTGAGATATTGAGTGCTAAGAAGATCACAAATAGAATAGAACTAAGGCTGAAGAATAATAATGACATGAGAGCTACGTGTTTTGTGGAAGGATTTTGGTAAGGAATTTTCTTGATTGGCTTTTTTTAATCTACAATACTTTTATTAAATTCCTCTGTTAAAGTTCTTGAGCACCTGCCCACAAATCATCAGCTGATCTTTTGTTTTTTATATCTGAATTATTTTATATTTTTAGGTTAAAAAACATAGTATTCTTATAAATTATTGCAGGATAGACACTCCCTTGGTCCCAGGCGACATAGTCAGTGTATTAGCCTCGCGGGATTCCTCAGGGCACTACATTGTGACCAACACATCAGGTCTCCTAGTGCTACGTCCAGACCACTTAATATCCAGCACCAGTGTTGTGGCTGGAGTCTTCTGCAAACGTAAAGCTGTGCTACAGGAACGGTGGAGAGGAATCGATTCCGCTAATATGGCTGTAAGTGCTATTTTCATGTAGTAATAAAATAAAACCATTTAATATGAAATTCAGTTTCCAAAAGAGCTTAGCAGATACCAATAGATATAGAGATATGATCATTGTCCGTACCTGAAAAAAGGCTTCACTCTTTGGACCCAGTTTGCCATCATCACCACCTGCTTGTTAATCTTTTTTATACTTGAAATCATAACACAAGCACGTCTTTACCATAATCTTAAAAACGATTCGCGTGTGCACTTGTTTAAATGCGTTTACACACGATTTATGCGTGTCTAAACAGGCTAGGTTAAGCTATTAACTGTAGTAGATACAATAACATCACTATTTTTAAAATCATTGTCTGAGTAATTAGGAGAAGGACAAGTCTTAACTGTGCCAAGAACTGAGCCACATTTACGAGGTTATTTTTCATGTACCATACGTCTATCAAACAAGAATTTGGTTACAGATGACAACAGGAATATTGATACACGAACTGGTACAGAAAGCTCTGACTCAAAAGATAGTGTCGACGGAACGCCTTCGTTCAGTGACGGATGATATAATAAAGGAGTCAGTAGACAGGCTATTTGATGCCGGACTGAGTGAGGAGGAGGCGAGGAATACTGTGTACAAGTATATACCACCGCTAGCCGAATTTATGAATACTTATGTAGCTGATAAACCACCTACTGTTGCGGTAAGTTTTGATTACTAAAAATGTTATCCCTCTTAACAAACATTGTCCTACCTGTCTTCTATAAATGCAGGATATAGGAGTGTATAACATACATGCATTTTTTTATTGTTTTGTTCACGCACAGCCAATCCATCACTTCATTCATATATTCGCTATTCCACCTCAATTTAGGCATGGAGGTAAAACCTCGGAAATCTCAAATCAAAATTTGTAGTTCGTCCATTGGCTCCTACGTCATCATATTCTGATACTAGTTGTATCCGTAGTTTCATTCGCGTAGTTTATTTTTACGATGGATAGCTTTACAACAAACAACGAAATATTTTTTCGACTTGGTGTTATTGTGGAGCCTATTCGAACCAAACAAACAAACAATCAAATCTTTCTTCCTAATTATATGTTAGTATCAGTATAGATATTGAATTTTTCAGAATGTGAAAACAGATAAAAATAATTGGTCGGGACATATTGATAAAATATTGGACATTGAGGAGAACCTTTGCTGTCCCAAACTCGGGCTGAAGGGGAAAATCGATGCCACCCTACAAGTCACCATACACGAAAGGAATAGTAAGAATATTAATAATCATCATATACAAATCTGAATTCTAATGCTGTGGAATAAAGTGTTTTTTCATTTGGTACCAGAAACGATTAAATGTTATTATCATTCAAAAATAATCTTTATCACATTTTACTAAAAACATTTTTCTTACAACGTTTAGGTCGGAAGAAGGCGGTGGTTCCTCTCGAACTGAAGAGTGGCAAGGCTTCAATGTCTGCGGAGCATCGTGGCCAGTTAGTGCTGTATGGTATGATGCTAAACTTACAGGCCAACGAGGACCCCACCCAGGCCGCCCAGAGAGGCCTACTGCTCTACCTAAAGTAAATATTATAAATTATATAGTACCCATCCGTTTTGTTATAGCAAATGCTATGCTAGCTATGTGAAATAGCAAAGTCTGATTAACAGGTCATGTAAAGTATAATTCGCTTTACCAAAGCTGCTCGTTTCCGCAGAGATCGCGTGGACATACGTGAAGTTAGCTGCGGTTACCCAGAACGTCGAGATCTGATCATGTTACGCAACCAACTCGTACAGTACGTCACAACGTCTCCTCAAGACATCGACCCAGGTAGGAGAAAATAAAAAAAATATTGTTGCCAGGTTGCCTACGGCTCTTAAATAAAAATAAAGTAAATGGTTATTCTTCGAAACCCACCCTTAATTCGTTCTAAAAATATATTGTTTTATACAATGACTAGCTTTTGCCCGCGACTTCGTTCGCATGGAATAGTGACTTCCTCAGGATTTATGGTTTTACCCACTTACTTGTCCATCTCGCGGGAATTTCGGGGTAAAAACTACCATATGTCCTTTCTCAAGTTCCTAATTTCACACAAATCGGTACAGTAGTTTAGGCGTAAAGAAAAGACTTGAAAAGGATTGAAACAATACCTACTTGAGACTAGATTCACTAGTCGGTAATATTTTTTGCAGAAAATCTAGTAGACATTGAAGAAGCGGCTATCATGCTGCAACAGAAGCTTCCGGAGCCGGTAGACCATCACAACGCCTGCACCAAGTGTCCCTACCTGACTCTCTGCTCATTGCATCTCTGGTAACAATGTTTTATAATTTGCTACCTATTTAATATTTATTTTGAGAGAGTAGGTCGGGCTTTTGGTATTTTAGTAAAAAATGGCTCTAAATGGTTCATGTGTAATATACTAATATCATACACGTGCATGGTGTAACTCACTATTTGATTGGGACCAGACTAGGTATAGTCGTCTAGGCAAATGTTTGAGATTTACAAACGCTAGAAATCCTCCCTAATCTCTCCCCTATCCCAAAATCTCCAAATTCCTAATCTCTAAAAGTCGGAAACGCACTCGTAACTCCTCCGTTGTTGTGGGTGCCCGTGGGCGGCGCTGTTTGCTTATTATCAGGTAATCCGTCTGCTCGTTTGCCGCCCTGTCACAAAAAAAACACTCATAGCTAGTATAAATAAACAATACTCGTAATAATAATAATAATTTCCATCATGTCTGTCTCTCAGAATGGATGTAGAAAGGGGTCACGTGGAACTAAGGAGCTACTCCTCATTGATATGGTCATTAGCCAGCAGGTTCGTCGATCCCGAAAGGATTTGTCTACATGCTGGATAGATTATAAAAAGGCTTATGACTCCGTACCACATACATGGCTTATGAGGGTGCTGGAGTTGTATAAAATTAATACAACTCTGCGCACCTTCTTACAGTCATGTATGAGGCAGTGGAGCACGGTGCTTTCCTATCCAGGATGTAAGCAAATCCAAAGGAGTGAAGAACCTGTAAGGATAGTGCGAGGAATTTTCCAGGGTGATAGTCTGAGCCCACTGTGGTTCTGCTTGGCCTTGAATCCTCTCAGTACTTTACTTGAGGCTTCAGGGCTGGGCTATCGTTTGCGGAGAAAAGGTCACGTTATTTCTCACTTACTTTACATGGATGACCTCAAGTTGTTTGCACCAAACAAGGAGGAACTGATGGAACTACTTAAAATAACTAAAAATTTTAGTAGTTCCATCAGAATGGAGTTTGGTGTTGATAAGTGTGCGGTCATGCATGTAAAGCGAGGCGGGATAGTGGAATCTGAAAGTCTAGAGCTGTCAGATTTCACAAAACTGAGATCACTCTCCGCAAATGATACCTACAAGTATTTGGGTATGTCGGAAGGATTGGGTATTAATGGGCCGCACATGAAACAATCTTTACAGGAGCGCTTCTTTGGCCGCCTGAATAAGGTACTGAAAAGTTCGTTATCAGGCGGCAACAAGGTACGCGCCTTTAACGGTTGGGTCATGCCGGTCCTGATGTATTCTTTTGGCATACTCAAATGGACTCAGACTGAACTTGACACCCTGGATAGACGAGTCCGGACGATGCTGACTGCAAATCGAATGCATCATCCTCGTTCATCAGTCATGAGGTTGTACATCCCGCGGAAGTGTGGGGGTCGAGGCTTTCTAAACGCTAAGACCCTTCACAACCGTGAGGTGTGCAATCTCAGGGAACATTTCCTGAAAGTGGACGAGGATATGCATCGAGAAGTAGTCACAGTGGACAAGGGATTCACACCACTATCCTTGGCTAAAGAGAACTGGTGCAAACCCGTAGTGCTGAGCGTCAATGACCGCAAGGCGGTATGGAGTAGCAAGGAGCTCCACGGACGCTTCTTTCGGGCTCTCCACGGGCCCGATATAGATTTTCTAGCGTCCGTAGCTTGGCTACGATTCAGTAACCTCTTCGGAGAAACTGAAGGATTTGTATGTGCAATTATGGACGAAGTTATCCTCACGAATAACTACCGGAAATATATTATGAAGGATGGGACGGTTGACATATGTCGGGCATGTCATAGCTCCGGTGAATCCATCAGACACATTATTTCCGGCTGTGGTCGTTTGGCTAATGGCGAATACTTGCACAGACATAATCAGGTGGCCAAGATTATTCATCAGCAACTTGCTTTGAAATACCGGCTTGTTGAGTCTGAGGTCCCGTACTACAAGTATGTGCCCGACCCAGTTCTCGAAAAAGACCATATCACATTGTACTGGGATCGGTCTATCATCACAGACAGGACTATTGTAGCCAATAAGCCTGACATAGTGGTGGTAGACCGACTAGCGCGTCGCACGACGATAATCGATGTTGCCATTCCTCATGACGAGAACCTCGTGAAAGCTGAGAAAGATAAACAATTGAAATATCTCGACTTAGCTCACGAGGTTGTTGACATGTGGAATATGGACTCGGCCATCGTTGTGCCGATAGTTGTGTCGGCAAACGGGTTAGTCCCCAAAAGCCTCGACAACCACCTTAAGAGGCTGACGTTAGGCGGATGGATCAAGGGCCTCATACAGAAGGCAGTCCTCCTTGAAACGGCACGTATTGTGAGGAGGTTCTTGTCTCTGGAGCCCTAACCGCCGGCAGCTTGGACCTTGCTCCCGCTGCCAGCTGGCTCCTACTTTTATATTTTTAAATATTATTTTATTTTATAGTAATATTTAAAAATGTAATTTTAGAGCGATTTTAATAAATATATGTAACTATAATAATTTATTTTTACATATTCCTGTATACCCAGGCATACAGACGGTCCCACCGTGTCGGAGTCTCATCCCCTCTCCAACTTGCGTACTGAAGCATTGGGCCATCTCTCCCCTAAACACATTGAGTACTTCCTGCATTGGACGGCGCTGCTCAAGATGGAAGAGAGAGGACAAATGATGGCGTCACCGCTACACGCACTATGGACTGATAGTGTTGAAAAAAGGTGAAGCATTTACAATAGCTTATTTTCTTACATTTTTCTGGTTACAAGTAGGTAAATCTTCGCGCAACATACGCAATACGCAATACAACAACGCGTATATATGTAATACACATGAAAACCCATTATGTGGCCTCGGTGTTCGTCACTACATAATACATATAAAACAAAGTCGCTTTCTCTGTCCCCATGTCCCTATGTATGTTTAAAAATCTTTAAAACTACGCAACGGATTTTGATGCGGTGTTTTTAAAAGGTAGAATGATTGTATAATAACATTCATCCATTAAATAGTGGAGTAATTTTGTATTAGCATTGCACACGTGCGTAGGACAAGTTATTTTAATAATTTGAAAACTTGCCTTCAGAGTCGGTCATGGTGCTATTTTATAGATTGTACCTTGTTTTTGTAAAGAATTTTTTTTTTTTACAAAGACAAGGTACAATCTAATTTAGGCTTTAACCAATATTTATAGCTTACTTGCCTTTACTCTTGACATCGTTTGTGATTAGAGTGCCTAGTGCGAGTTTTCTTTACGTTATCGTAATTGAAGCGTTTTCGTGTTTAGCCTTCTGATTAGTTGGTAAACTCGGAGCAGGCTAACGTCGTCATCAATAGCCGATATCGATGAAGAAAAGAAAACTCGCTCTAAGCCCTCAACTCATCGCACATACATAATAGAAGCAAGTACCAAAACGTGTTTCTTTTTTTCGAATACACTTAAAATGATTGGAACAAATATCACTCCGTCATATAAAGCAAAGCCGCTCTCTGCCACTGTTAGCCAGACCGATAGTATTCACAAAAACATGCATAAAAAATAATACGCGTCGAATTAAGAACCTCCTCCTTTTTTGAAGTCCGTTAAAAATCTCTATTCCTATTAAATTACAGAGAAAAGCGTGGTACATGTGCTGCGAACTTGAAACTAGTCACTGTCACACACCTAGAAGACAGATATCTGCATGTGTTTCAGAGAAATGTTGGCAACATTGGTAAGTTAACTGCACAGTCGGCTGGCCTGGCAACTACGACTATAGAGACAATGCTTGTGTTAAAAATATATACTATTATAACTATTTTTAAAAAGCTAGCTACGCACTTGTAACTGTTGTTGTACGGTTATAAACGACGCCGCATCTGCAAGTAAATTGGGACTGGTCAACTGTAAAAAAAATCACATACATTTTTATAATTCCGTAAGATTTGGTTTAATGAGCTGTTTCTTTTAAAAGAATTTCCATTAGGCACTACACTTTTACACAAAAAAACATCAGTCCCATTGCAGCAGCGGAGGAGTAAGTAGGTCAACTGAAGACCAAACGAATATTTTCATAAGTTAGATAGTCTTAATAGCCTCTATTGCGTTGGGTATAAGAACTTGTTTCGGTTATACGTAAGACAATTCGACTATGTATTTTAGGTGATGTGAAGGTGGCAAAAGGACCTCAAGAAGGAGAGTTTTCAATAGTCAGCATAGAGAACCGACCGTGGATTGCAGCCGGAGTAGTGACCGTCGCTAATGCCAAAGAAATACACATATTTTTGGAAAGGTAATATTTTTATTGGTTTTTTAGTAATTTGTATAGCAAATTCAATACCTACTTCTTTCGAATTTTAAAAACAGTCGATTTTGTTCGTCGATTCTTTTATTTTATTTTATAGAGAGAAGAGAATTTTCTACGAAATGTGTGATGTAACGTCGTGTTTTTTTGGTCGAATAGTTTATTTTATGAGTCAATTATTATTTTATAAATGAGGTAGAAAAATAATAAAGTTAAGGTTATCGTAAAATCAATGAATGAGTGACCACGTGAATCAACTGAGAAAAGCTGGCTCTGTTTTCAAGCCAAGTGTAAATAGTTGGCTTGAAAACAAAGTCCCGTTATGATTGAAACTAGTAGAGCACGTGTCACCAATGAATCCACTTACAAAATACTTTAGTCCTTGTAGTCGCTGTTAAAGCTTAATATTGCATTGCATTTCAGAGACCTAAGTGGTCGTTTGAACAAACAGACTGTGTACCACATAGACACGTACGAGTCTTACGCGACTACAGTACAGAATCTCACTAATCTGGGTGTTTTGCTCGAAGACAGCGATCGAGCTGACAGACTACGAAGGTATGTTAAGCTAAATTATACTTTGTTTGCAAATAGAGTTATCGAATTCTTTATCTTACTGTGTTTTTTATTAGATTGGACGCTTTCGCATTCGCCCATGGACACCCAGAAAACCAAAGGAGTTAGGAGTATGTTGTCGGACTTTTGGAGATAAGGATTTCGAATATTTGAGGTTTGGGAAGGGATGGGGGGGGGGGATATTGAGACGGAAGTGTTTTTTGTGAAGCCGTAGTATTACTCCGGTCGTACCGACCCATACGTGCCGAAACTTGGTTCTCGCAGCTTGTTTGTGTGCTTACCTATGATGTTGTATGATTTCGGGGCACACGAGTTATAAGAGAGAATAAATGTAAATTTCCTCAATTAGATATAAAACGAATATTGATTAAAAAAACTAAAAAAGTGTGTTAAAGGAAATCTACGGTCCTTATTTCTTTTACCCTTCTAAATAGACAAGTGCCTACCGTATTCAAAATTGTTGTTTCGATTCAAACAATTTTATTTTCAGGTTAATAATTGACAAAGAGCTTCCACAGTTCGAAGTGAAGTTGCCTCGTGACGTGGGTCGGCTGGGGGCGCGTCTCATGAAGTCACTAAACATTCAACAACAGCGCGCCGTGCTCAAGTCTATAGCTGCCAAGGACTATGCGCTGATAAAAGGCTTGCCTGGCACTGGTAAGAATATAAAGTTGTTTGAACATTTCTAATTATATTTATTCAAGTGTGGGATACCACGACCTCACTGAAAACCGGCTTGAATCAACCACAGCTTTGTTTTTCGCCGTATGAGTGAGGTTACCGGAAGCCTGATCCCAAAATCGTATTTAAATGTAACAACTACTAGTTGTCCAAAATAAAAAATCTCCAAATTCCTCATCACTAACAGGTCGGCAACGCACTTAAAATCAATTATACATACGTTTCAACTGTTTTAACTGAGTCTAGTTTGGTAATAGGTAAAAAGGTCTTAAACCGGCGGCGAACAGGGTAATGAAATCAGCCGGGGTTGCAGTAAGTAAGACACTGACACTCCCTCCACGGCTGAGTGACAGATTTGATGATTATCCCCCTTAAAACAGGGTAATGGAAATACGTTAAATAATTAATAGAAATAAATATATATATGTATAATAATACTTGTTTGCAGGTAAGACGCAGACAATAAGCGTTCTGATCCAAATGTTGGTAGCGTTGAAGCAACGCGTCCTCGTCACTGCGCACACGCACTCCGCTGTAGACACAGTACTTAGCAGGTACACTTATATTGTTTTATGCAATAATATACTTTGAGTTTGTGATAATTAAAGTCTTAAGTTATTTCTGAAGTTAACACATGCTAGAATTCGAGTTTGCCTGAAATTGACTCTTGCATTCAGAGAATGACAGACAATGTGTCAGTAAGATTTCATCTTTATGGCGATGATAATGCTTTGACTGCACATTTAGCGCAGTGACTAACTGTAACGGTAACTGGCTGCTCTGCAACGTGTCGCGGGTTCGATTCCCGCACCTGATTTGTTGGTCCGGGTCTGGGTGTGATGTGTAACCACGACACAGGAGAAAATCCTAATGCTATTATCGTTGTTCCAAAGTTTCTTTAAAAACTGATTTTCTTATATCAAATATGTTTACTGTTATTTTATATATACGCCTAGGTTACCTGAATCGTTGCGAGTGATGCGGTTGGGGTCGTCGACCCGAATAGCTCCCGTTTTACAGGCGCGCAGTGAACAGTCCCTCACCTCTGCCTGCGACACTCCGGAAAAACTAGCTGCACTATATGATTCTATGGTAGGTTATCAATACATACATGTATAGTGAAGTGGTACTGTGATATACAGAGTAGTGTAACACAACTATTTATAATATAATGTCAAACCTATTTCAATGGTGAACTTCATCGTTTACATTCTATAACTCCAAACTTCAATACTAGATGTCGTTGTGCGTATGACGTCATATTTTACATGGCGGTGTTAAGATTCTCCGCGACTTAATGACCCCCGCCAGTACATTTGTGTTTTGAGAATGAAGACTACAGTCAAGGTGCACTCTCGGGCTACGTCCTACTTGGAATAGTCACTTGAGACTCCTCTGTTTAGCAAGTCGCGGACACTAATATACTTTTATCTCTCAATAATTGTATATTTTTTTTGGATTAGAGGACTGCATCCGCCACCTTCGTCCAAGCGGAAAAGGTTGTGTGGGACTGCGCCTATTTTATTTTACCGAAATATATACAAACGTTGGCAACATCGACCTTTCTTTCCTTCACGAACGCGTGACGACACCGGAACTATAAACCTCTTACAGTAGTTAATATAAGTTTATTTCGGCATTTTTTTCCTCAGAGTTCCTAATCAGATAGGGAATGCCGGCTTCATCTAGTTTTTATAGTGTATAATTTTGACGTGTTAAAGTGCCTGTTGGCAAAAATAAATGCATTGTTTCAATAATTGATCTCACAGTTGACGCGATATTTTGGCAAAGAGGTAATTGTCGCAGATTCGTTTCCCGCACGGAACAACTCTGTGTGATCCTTAAATTGTTGCATCGTTGTTCCGGGTCTGGGTGTATTGTGTATGTGAAATTGTATGTTTGTAATCGCACCCAACACACGTATCCATGACACATCACAATCAGATTCAGTCAATCTTGATATATGGCTATAAACTTATTTGTCGACTGTCTGTACAGTCCTGACTAAGAAAAAAATACGTTCCAAATATATAATATAATATATGTTTTATTGTTTGATGCAGGAAGTAGTCGGAGTGACTTGTTTGGGCGCTGCACACGCCATGTTAGCACGAACTACTTTTGATCTCTGCATTGTTGATGAAGCTACGCAGGTAACTTGGACTTTTCTTCAAATAAATACATATCATAATCAACATATAATGTGTTTAAGGAAATACAACTCCATAGGCTGAAGTTAAAGTTGTTATTTTAATATTTCAGGTGTTACAATGCACTGTGTTGCGGCCATTGTTCGCAGCAAAGAGGTTTGTTCTAGTGGGAGATCCGGAGCAGTTACCGCCTGTCGTCAGGAGCAGAGCCGCGAGGTAGGATATTAAATAGCAATTTTGTTCATTATAATGTCAGAATAAACAACAAAATCTTTATGATCGATTTCTCATTTCATTTACACATCGCGCCGTAGAATTTATTTGATTCGTTCAAACATTACTATGTATATCCAGGCAGTTGTAAAGTATTGCGGGACAAGCGCAATAAGGTTCCGTGGCTTCGGAACAGAGCAGGAGAAGGAACAGCAGAGGGAGGTCAAGTCAATCAGAATCTGACACTCCCTCTCGCCCTCACCCTGGGCGAGAAAAGTCATTTGATGATTTTCCCCTCACAAAAAAGGCAGTTGTAAAGTATTTTTGCTGAGAAATTCCACCCTTTTTCGTTTTAAGAAGTGTGCTTTTTTCAATGGCCATTCCTTCTCAATTGGCTAGGCTTCCTTCTAAGTTTAATTAGAAAACTATTTGACTAAATGTAAATTTTCTTTAGGCGCCTAGGTATGGAAGAGAGCTTATTCCATAGACTGATGTGTGAAGAGGCGACATCAACGCTACAACTCCAGTACAGAATGAATCAAGCTTTAGCGGACGTCGCCAACTTAGTTGCTTATAACAACCGCCTTCAGTGCGCTGACAATAACGTCGCACAAGCCCGACTTAATATCGATGTACAGGTAAAGAACATTCTAGTATGGTAGTATATCTCTTTTAAGATCTGTCAAAGTACGAGGTACCGGTATGTCAAAAAAAGGTACAGAATGTCTTGTATATTAACATATTACTTTGTGCGGCTCTCTCTATGTCATGAAATATACCCATACATAATATTTCTGAATCGCTTTCCCTATGTTCATGACAGTATTAAATTCTGGAATCCTATAGAATGTTTCCAAATAAAATCCGCAATATTTTTGTTATATACTTAAAACAGATTATGCAAACATTTTAAACTTATTCTGGGCAAAAGACACTAAATATAAAAAATATCTATAATTTTATTTTCAGAAAATACCTCAATTGTCAGCTTCACCGTGGTTGACGATAGCCTGTAGTCCCGAGCCACAGAACGCAGCGTTGTTTTTAGATGTGATGTCCCACAATATTGAAAATGCGCCAGATGGTCCTAACAAGAACTCCTGTGCAAACCCAATAGAAGCTTGCGTGGTTATAGCGCTGTTGGAAGCATTGAAACAGGTTATTACAATTTTAATAAATTTTGCTCAATGCGGGATCAAAGCTATGATAAATTATACACCTTAGACGTTAGCGTGGGTCTGTGGTCGGCGAGTAAGGGCAAGTGCCGCGACCTCGTTCTAGAGCAGAAGAAGGAACGGGAAATGTTTTAGCCAGTAAGAGCCTAACACTCCCTCGCCCCTCATCCTGGACGAGAAAAATCATTTGAATAACGTTATAGAATAAAAACCCGTCACAAATTTTTTTACGGTAGACGAAGAGACAACAGACTCAGGAACTTTTTAGATGTTTTTCATAAGTAAAATAATTGTTGCAGGGTAATGTCAAGTCCTCAGATATAGGTGTGATAGCTCCATACCGCGACCAAGTAGCACTCCTGCGCCGCTCTCTCCAACATCTCGCCGTAGAGGTCAGCACTGTCGACCAGTTCCAGGGACGAGACAAATCTGTCATCATATACTCGTGTACGAAACGATCAGACAAACATGATGACAAGAAGGTTAAGGTATGTGGTGGAACATGGTGTTTTCTTCTGTCTATGTTATACTTTTAAAGCGGTTATCTATAAAAAGTCTATAAACCTCATACCTAGGATCTAGACCCTATCCAAAAACATTTGATAATACTAGTCAATGGAATAAACTGTAACTAACTGCAATTTGTCATAATGGCAGAAAATAAAATTAAAGTATACCCATATAATGTAACTAACAAAAATATTTTGTTAATTACAGGAAGGTGAAGTCCTCAACGATCAGCGCCGTCTAGCCGTTAGTGTGACCAGAGCAAAGCACAAACTATTAATAGTTGGCAACTCCGTAGCTTTGCGTCGGTATGCGCCGCTACAGAAACTCATACAAACTTGCAACTCGGTCCAATTAGATACTAATATTGTAAACAAATTATGTAATAAATATAAAATGTACGTGTCTTGACAGTAAAACTGTAATAAAATTGTAATGTAATCGTGTCTTAATTTTTTGTAATACATAAATAAGTCTGAATTTTAATAAATATCATGTTTATAGGTTTTCATTATTAATAAATGATTTTTTACATTTATGCCGTGCCAGCATGTCTTCGCTCCCGCTCTACCTATATCATATCCTAGATTCTAGGACTAGGTCCTATGCTACATTTCTCTGCTTTATTCTATCGTTCTACCTTCCTTTGCTTACTATCAAGATTTGTGGCTAGCAACAGTGGTCAAAAGGAAGCTTTTTAATAAACTATACTCGGAATTTTAATTCCATTCCAGATTTGACAATTTCAGTGTTGCAACGTTATGACACGTAATAAATAGTGACGTTGCGAAATTATTCGATATGGAAATCGAATATTTCTGAATCGATTCCTCTGGTTTATAAATTTACTCTCGTAAACTAAGTTTATCAGGAAATAAAATATTTCTGAACCTATAATTTAGTTTTGACAATTAATTAACGATCTGAGACTTTTCTTTTGTAATTGTGTGTGAAATTAATTCAAAATGTGATCATGAAGGAACGTGACAAATAAAACAGACATATTATAAATTGTCGCCGTCATCGCTATCGCTATCGCCGTTACTCTATGTAACATTTATTATGAATTGTGTATTTGATATTTATTGTCAATTATCATATCTAGCTTACTATTTTTTTCCTCTTCTTTGAAAACATGGGATACACATTTAGACCATTCGGTAGCCGTAATTTTTTGAATGCCTTCCTGAAACTGATTCACTGATTGTTTATCGATTTTTTGTGTTCATCACTACACTGTTATATGTGGTATCATTATTTCACAAAATGACAATAGGTCATGTCAAATCAGGAATCGAATTAAAAGTCTGACTATAAGAGTTATTTAGAGACTTCTCTTAAAATCGACTAAACTAAATAAAAAATAATCATTTTAAAATTAAATTGAACGCATTTTTTCTACTGTTACCTAAACTGTTGATCTGTCAATGTCAAACAGCTGATAATTATTATGTATAGCAAAAAATAATTAGTTTGTCAGGGTTATTAGCCGGCTTTGGACTTGTTATTTCTTATTGTATTTTTATTAGCGCATCACTCTATCAGTGTGATGTAATAAAGGTCTTGAACTGTCGTTCATTCACCAACATATCAGTTAAAAATAATATAATTAATTCATCTGGCTGGGATATTAAAGGTAAAACAGTTATTAATTTATTAATTTAGATTTTATTGTTTTTTATCCTAATAAATATTTAGATAGTAACCTTGTATTATAAACTTGAATGGAAAGTTGTATGTTGCGCATATCAAACTTAAACAAATATTTGTTCTTTGATAACTACCTGCAGAGTACGGAATATATTTTATTTATTGCTTATAAACTGCTTGTAGGCTTACAAGATGGTAAAAGCGGTGGCTGTGATCACTATCAGCGACACATGTTTCAAAGACAACTCCAAAGACACATCAGGGCCTGCACTAGCAGATTATGTGAAGGAATTATTTCCTGAGGCGAATCTCCACACTATCATCATTCCAGACGAAAGAGAAATCATAGAAAGGGAGCTCAAATACTTTTGTGAAACAAATCTAGATCTAGTGCTGACTACAGGAGGGACAGGATTGACCCCTAGAGATGTCACCCCTGAGGCAACCAAAGCTATTATACAGAGGGAAGTGCCAGGAATCACTACAGCAATAACACTAGCAAGTTTGAAGAAGACACCAATGGCCCAGCTGTCTAGAGCTGTTGCTGGTGTCAGAGACAAAACTCTCATTATTAACTTCCCTGGCAGTAAGAAAGCGGTCACTGAATGTTTTGAGGTAGTGAAGCCTATCTTGCCTCATGCCATATCCTTGATACATAATGAAGTAGCTGAAGTCAGCTACATCCACAACAACATGCAGTTCAACCACACTTGTAAACACAGCAGCAATGTAGACATATCTAAGGTGGCCTTAAGACCTAGGGAGTCTCCATTCCCCATGGTGGAAATGGCAGAAGCTTGGAAGATGATTGATGATGTGATGTCTGAGTGGACGGAAAGACTGGAGATAGTGACTATTGAAGAGGGACTGGGCAGAGTTGTGGCACAAACACTGCATGCTAAGGAACCTTTGCCACCATTCCCTGCATCTGTTAAAGATGGTAAGTTATTTCATTTTAGTTTGGTTGGCTCTGGTAAAAATTCTGGATTAAACAATTTCATATTATTGAGTTTAGTCAAACCCATTGGCTAAATAAACCCTCATATTGCACAGTCATTGTTCCTTTCATAAAATATAGTTGGATGGAAAGCAATTTGTTCCGCTTGTTGTACACAGTAATGTGTAACAAAAGTCTACAAAAGAGGTTTTTATGAATTTATAAATGCAACCTTGAAGGTGTAATTAATATGCAATTTTATGACTTGGCAATGTAAGTGACTGATAAAACATGTGTTTTTTGTAAAAGATACACCTATGTAAATATGTAAGGTAGGTACTTTATAAACATGGTAATTTGAGGGTGGTTAATATGACAAATATATTTTTTTCTTATCTATAAAAAAAATTATATCTTTAGGATGTTAAAAATAGATACCTACTAAGTATATAAAATACCTAATACTTGTCATTTGCAATCTATTTTTGTTTCTTAACAGATAAAAATCAACTCGCAAAATGTTCCATGTCAAAACATCAATTATCACCCAGGAAAACATATTGATAGTGCTTAGTCATCATTCGATAACCATTATAATGTGGATAACCGTCTAAAAATAGACTTGTTAAAAATATATCTTCTTATAAAAACATTATCGTAATAATAATCTTGTGTGATTAGGATACGCGTGTCTCAGTATAGACGGCGCTGGAGTGCGTCGCGTACGCACCGCGGTGACTGCAGGGGATGCGCCCACTGCGCCGCTGTGCGCTGGCGAGTGCGCTCGAGTCAACACTGGCGCCGCACTACCCGCGGGAGCTGATTGTGTTGTACAGGTACTCATAACTACAGATACAATTAAGGAAAAGTTCACTTTCCAATGATCAATGCAATAAGTAAAATTCCAGATCACCAGATTTATCCAAAAAGCTAGTAACTTGCCTATTTTTTTCTTGGCATACGGCAAAATCGGCAAACGCGACTAATCGGTAATCCGCCTGCACGATAACACCAAAGGAGTTACTACAAGTACAGCCCGCTTTCTGTACATTATAAGGGATTTAAATATAAGAGATTTTGGTATAAATAATAGAGGAAGGATTGGGCCGGTGGTAACCTTCCTCACTCGGCAAAACGCAGTCTAAGCGTTGTTTCACGCCAGTTTCTATGAGGCAGTGGTATAACTCCCGTCCATTCCCCCCACTAGGCCCAAAAAATCCTGGACAATCTAGTTCTGAGGGCGGCATTTACACACAATTGTACAATTCTGCATAATAATTACAGATACAGATATCTGCATTATTCTACGAAGTTCATTGCCTCATAAAAAGTTGATAAAAGTAAGCGAATATAAATCTGATGAAACGCAATTAATCTATTTGTTGTCATTGTATATGCTGATAATTATGATAAATGTTTCGCATTGGTGTTAAGGCCGCTTATGTAGATTTACACAATTAACACAACAGGAGGTAGGTATGCTGCGTGTGTCGACACCTAGCCCTGTATTTTAACTAAGCTGAATACTGATGTGCTTCACAATTAATTTTTATACACAAATGTGTAAACTATAAAGTAATGTAAGTTTAAAAGTGCATTCATGTTTTTCGGAATTCATGCTTATAGATAGGTAGGTACGTCACAATTATGTTTGGCTCTTGCCAGCGTAAATCTCGCCAAGTGTAAGTGACCGCACACTGAGAAATCGGAGAATATAGACATATAGGCATGCACTTCAAAATAAATTCATTTTTTATGAAATAAAATAAATATGTACAGTATTGTGGACACATCTACCTGCGTGTGTCAGGGCCCACTGAGTGAGTACGTTAGTACGTTTTAATAGAAACTGCATTTCTACACATACATACACGTACATATTTATTTTAGCGTTTGTAGCGACTTCCGTTTAACCTTATTGTCGTTTTAACGTAAAACAAACGAGCACTAGGCCTCAGGTCCTTTTGAGCTGCAATGCCCAGCCAGCTTGCCAAATGTAGAGAATATCTTCTGTGCTTGCGGTGCTAGTGCAATAATAGTGGCTCACTTAGCCAGTCAGGGCGGGGAAACCGATCGGATAATATATACCCTCCAGAACAGGGGTGGCCAACCGGTCGATCGCGATTGGTGATCGTGGTAGTGATGAGCTACATTGGTCTTGGTCTCGCAGTCTGGTTTTTACTCTGCGCTGCGACATACATTTTTCTAAAAGCAAGGACATCCGCGAGTCAATATTTCTGGGCATTGCTTTCTAAAGTGAAATTTCCAAATTTGAAAAAATGTGTTGAACAACTTCATTCGTGTGGACCCATATAACGTTGAGTAAATTTAAGGAAACGATGTCACATGTGATATGAAAAGAGATTGTTAAGACTGATGGTCAATAAAAAATACATGATTGCGTACTAAACTATGCTGTTTCATTTAAGATTTCAAGAAGTATGTACTTGATAGATCGCACAGGGTTTCATTAGTTAACAGTAGATCTTAGGTCTAATCAAGTTGGCCACCCCTGCTCTAGAAAAATAACGCGTAGAATATGGTCAAACTTTCTTTTATACACAAGTCCCATAGTATAACATTAAAAAGTAGTTTTGAAATGAATGGAAGACAGACCTGTCACAAAAATAGTGTCAATTTGTTGTAACAGGTGGAGGACACGAAGCTAGTATCAGCATCTGAAGACGGACAGACGGAGCTGGAGGTCGAGATCCTGAAGGCGCCCGAACCACAGCAAGATGTGAGGAGTGTCGGCTTCGATATCCCAATGGGAACGGTACTCGTTGACAAAGGTTGGCTAAAGGTTTTTAATATTGAGCAAACTGTAAAAATAAAATTCTTTATACATAAAAGTATACGTATTAATTATACACGTAAAAGTGAGTAAACCTGGTAATCTGATGGTAGGCAATCAGCGCCGCCCATTGACACCCACAACTACGGAGGACTTACTTTTGCAGACTAGGGTTAAGGAGATTTAGGGATTGAGGAAGGGGAATAACTGGTCCATCCGGGAACTTCATTCACACGGCTAAACACAAAACTACTTATTTCACACGCCGGTTTTCTGTGAGGCCGTGGTATTACTCCGGTCGATCCGACCCTCTCCCACAGTAATGAATCAGTATTTTTGCTTCTTCGTCGCATAAACGCTGCATTAAGTTAAATGAGTTATAACTTTTGATAAAATACTATTTTACTTGCAGGCCAAATATTGGACTCAGCTAAAATAGGAATACTTGCTGGCGCTGGATATCAAAATGTTACCGTGCGGGTACCTCCTAAGGTAATAATTACAATCTTGTGTTCCAAGCTATATCTGTAGGTATCTGATTAAGAAGAACTTGATTCTACTCTTTATAAGTAGTATATTTATTAGTAGCTTGTCTGCAACAGCCTTCCCCTCCAGTTATGATTTAGGTGTCTTCAAGGCTAGAGTGAATAGGCTTTTATTAAACTAGTGCGCCTTAGCATTATCAATTGCATCACTGCTTACCATCAGGTGGGATTGCAGTCAAGCACTAGTTTATATGATAAAAGTAAATATTGCCCTAATCGTCGCAACATTACCAATTATTATTATTATTTAAAAAACGTGTAGTCTGTACCTATATATTTCTTTTTTTTATTCAATAGACCGGCAAACGAGTAGACGGATTACCCGATGATAAGCAATCAGCGCCGCCCATGGACACCCGCAACAGAGGAGTAACGGGTGCGTTGCCGACCTTTTAGGGATTAGCGATTTGGAGATTTAGGGATTGAAGGAGGGGAAGGATTGGGCCTCCGGTAACCTCACTCACACGGCGAAACACAGCGTTACGGTTGTTTCACGACGGTTTTCTGTGAGGCCGTGGAATCACTCCGGTCGAACCGACTCAGTCGTGCCGAAGCGTGGCTCTGCTACACTTGATGATAATGATAACCAATACTTGAAGACCGAAATTAAATATAAGTAAATAAACTTGATACGCTCATTTTTATAGGTGGCGTTACTATCGACCGGTAATGAGCTGCAAGAGCCGTCGGAAGTGAAACTCAAGCCGGCGCACATCCGTGACTCGAACAGGACCATGCTCCGAGTATTACTCAAGTAAATGTTCTTACTAAGAATACAATACTAATATTCTTGATGTAGTTTTTTAGACTTGGTTTCTAGACTATACTAAATAATTTTGTCACTATTGGGTATGATATATTAATTTCATCTATAGATACTTCTATACTAAATCCTTCCCCAACCCTAATCCCTCCTCAATCCCTAAATCTCCAAATCCCTAATCCCGAAAAGGTCGGCAACGCACTCGTAACTCCTCCGTTGCGCCGCCCATGAACACCCGTTCATGGGCGGCGCTGATCAGACTTACCATCAGGTAATTCGTCTGCTCGTTTGCCGATCTATTACATAAAAAAAAATTCTAATATTATAAAGAGGTAAAATTTAAGTTTGTATGTAGTAGTAGTTTGTATGTATCTTTGGAACTGCTGGTCGGATTTCCAAAATTCTTTCACTAATAGATATCTAGCTACAATATTCCCGAGTGCTGTAGGCTACAATTTATAGGGCACATTAGGAATCCGCATTTTTTAAATTCGAGGTACATTTCTCTTATACGCGTGCAAGGCGCGTGAGGCTATTAATTTCGAAATACACGCATCTAATTGATGTCGGCGCGTTCAACGTTTTATGTGTGACAGTGAAATTAATGAATATATGTAACAAGCAAGTAACAATTCTCTTAAGTATTATACTTTTATTGTTACGTTTAGCGTAGTAAACAATTAAAAACTTGTATGCGACTCGATCAGTGCCAAATATTCGCCATGACGACAAGTAAATAGAAATTCACTATATAGTTCTATTTCGAGATGCAGCATGTGTAATTACTCACACATACCCACATTTTCAACTTATAAATCCATAAAATATTTTACGTTTCATTTCCATTAACTATACGATTTACCATAATTTACATATTTAAAAAAAACTAAGTTAGTATGCTATTTGACGTAAGAAAATTACGACGTCACAACGTGGTGTATCTCATAGAAAATTGACGTTCATTTTCGGAGAGTTAGGGATTGGGGAGGGATGAGGGAAAGGGAAGAAGAATTGGACCTCTGGGAACCTTACTCACACGGCCAAACACATAACTCTGTGATTGTTTCACGCCACTTTTCTGAGGCCGTGGTATCACTCCGGGCGAGCCGATCCATACGTGACAAAGTAGGCTCTTCCAAATTAAGATTAATTGATGTATCGTTGCTAATAATATCATCATCATCATCAGCCTATAAGTATAATTAGAAGTTATAAGTCCAGGTTTCCTCACGATGTTTACCGTCACCGTTGAATATACAAAATGAAAAAATATTATAGAACCTACGGGCCTTATAGGGCTGATACTTAGCTGGGGTATAAGTTTTTGCTCAGTAACACCCGGTTTCTGAAAGGCTTTTCAACGCTAAAATTAACTAATCTCCTGTTAAATCTCTTGTCAAGTCGTCTGATTGGTTGTTGTTAATTCAGCCAACCAATCAGATGACTTGACAAGAGATTAAATTGATCGGCCTTTCGGAAACCGGGTGTAAGAGTCTTACACTTCCTCTCGCCTCAACCTAGGCGGGAAAACCCATATGATTATGCCCTGACAAAAAAAAAATGAAGCCTCGTGTCAATGTATGTTGTCCATTGTATCAGAGAGCACGGCTACGACAGCATAGACTGCGGCATAGCGCGCGACTCCCCGCCGGAGATCGTGGCCGCCGTCGCCGCCGCCCTCAAGCTGGCTGACGTGCTCGTCTGCACCGGAGGAGTCTCCCTGGGGGAGAAGGATCTGCTCAAACCTGTACTACTCAAGGTAACGTACTAACTTTTAAATTTTCGCGTTTCATATAGTCAAGGTAACTTGTCATATAGGGAGAGACGAACCGTTATAGTTTTGAACTGTATTACGTAATGCATAAGGTTCACTTAAATATCCTTAGAGTGGACTCACTCTAGGCTATGTGTGTGTATTTTTCGGTGTAAGGCTTCGGTGGCCTGAAAGCTTCACTCAATCGCTCCAATGTAGTTTAGTATCAAATAATTCTTAGCATGTACAATAAGATTATAAATAAATTTTCTCGCGCAGGATTTCAACGCTACCCTGCACTACGGACGCGTGCGCATGAAGCCCGGTAAGCCGTGCACCTTCGCCACCTGCGAGTTCGAGGGCAAGAAGAAATACATCTTTGCGCTACCCGGTTAGTATTCTTGAAGATAATAATATAGGCTTATTTAGATAATATAGGCTTATTTAAAGCAGCACTACAGTCAATAAACTGGAGGGATCACATTGTACCCAATAACAATATCAACCAAAACTACGAAGCTTTCAATAACATAATAAAAATAACATTAAATAAAACTATACCTAAAAGAAAAATAAAATTAAAAAAGTGCCATAAAAAATATTGGTTAACCAAAGGAATTAAACTATCTTGCAAAAATAAGAGATTATTAAAAATCCTATGTTTAAAGTCGAGCAATCTAGTCATTAAAAAATACTATAGAAAATATGAAAAATTACTAAAACGGTCAGTAATAACAGCTAAAAAACTACAATACATAAATCAAATAAAAACATCACAAAACAAAATTAAAACTATGTGGGCAATAATAAAAGAACGCACAAACAAAAATCCTAGAGCTGAAAAGCAAAATATTCAACTGAAAATCGATAACGTCCTTAATACTGAACCTAAACAAATAGTAAATATATTCAACAATTTTTTTGCATCAATCGGCAAAGATACCGCGAACCTAAGTAACAACCAACAGTGTGATATAACTGTAACTCAGCAGTTAGAGAACACATTTTTCCTTAGACCAGTAGACTACCTCGAAACTAACAAACTAATAAAAAATCTCAAAAATAAAAATAGTCATGGAATAGACGAATTACCTCCATCCTTATTTAAACAGTGCGCTGACGAACTCACTGCACCAATTTGCGTATTAATAAACCAGTCATTCGAAGAAGGCATATTCCCAGATCTCCTAAAGAGGGCTATCGTCAAACCAATTCACAAGAAAAACTCGAAGACGGATCCCAACAATTACCGCCCCATTGCACTCCTGCCGACAGGATCAAAAATTTTTGAAAAAGCTATGTGCGATCGAGTCTATAGTTTTTGCGAGAGATTCAAAATCTTTGATGAGGGTCAAAATGGGTTCCGTAAACATAGGTCAACAACACTGGCAGTTTATAAGTATATTCAGGAAGTAATTAACATTTTAAATAATAAAAAATACGCAGTTGGCATTTTACTTGATATGACCAAGGCATATGACAGAGTGAAATTTGACATCTTACTTAACAAATTGTATAAAATAGGAATTCGCGGAGTTACCCACCAATGGTTTGAGTCATACCTTAAGGACAGAGAACAATACGTTGAAATTGAGTACTTCAATCAAGAAAGTAATGAAATAGTCAGTATAAGGTCGGACAGACAAATTTTAAACTCGTCAATTCCTCAAGGTAGCGTTATTGGTTGTCTGTTATTTCTTATATACATCAACGATCTCCCAAAAATTATGAACGAACCCTGTATATTATTTGCCGACGACGTTTCTCTTCTAACATCATGCCATAACGTTACAGAAATAAATACACAATTAGACACCATATTTAACAAAACAACAGAATGGATGGATCAACACAATTTGCAAATAAACTATAATAAAACAAAAATAATGACATTTTACCCCTACCAAAAAGCTCCAATAACAATCAACTTCTCGACTAATAATACAAAAATAGATGTTGTTGATGACTTCACACTACTCGGACTTACAATAGATACTCACATTAACTGGAAGACACACATCCAAAACACTAAATCCAAGCTATCTAAATTTATTTATGCTTTCCGCGAAGTAAAGATAACTACTGACCTACCAACAGCACTGAGTACTTACTACGCCTATGCGCACTCGCGGCTCAGCTACGGTATTCTCTTGTGGGGAAACAGCACTGACGCACCATCACTCTTCATACTGCAAAAAAAACTAATCCGCATACTCACAAACATAGAGCAAACCGAAAGTTGCAAACCCCATTTCCAAAAACATAAAATACTTACGCTTCCATGCATCTACATCTTAGAAATATGTAAATTCGTTAAGAGATACTCTACCTTCTTTACAAAGCGCGGAGACAGACACACCAACAGATCACTGAGACACAAAAATATGCTTATGCTACCTACATCCAACATGACACTACACTCAAATAGCCCATATGTAATGTGCATCAAAATATACAATAAATTACCCAACAAAATAAAAGATGAGCCTAGCGACACGAAATTCCTAAACACCCTAAAGCAAATATTAATAAATAAAGCATACTACACTATCAATGAATATCTTACGGATAAACAAATAACCTGAAAATATAAATTTTATACAAACATAACCATATTAACAAACACCTTTTCTTGCTCAAAACTAAGTAATATAAATATAATAAATAATATATGAATATATAGATAATATAAAAGTAACTTAAATGTAAAAAACTGAACAATATAATACTCAATTATAACAAAAAATATAACAATATATAATTAATTCAATACAATAAAATAAATATAACAATAAATTTATATAAAATTTAGAACGAATAACCTTATAATATAATGTACAAAATACAAAAATATATATATATACCTATTAAAATATAAATATAATAGCAATACTATACATACTTAGAATATGAAATACTTGTGCATAATTCTATATGAAAAAAGCCTGCCTCTCTTCTAATTTACTATTTGCTGTGCCCATCAGGGTCCATGATTGCTACTACACATAATATTACCATCTTATCTTACATTGTGGATGCAATAAAGAATTATGATTATGATTATGATTATGATTATGAAGATTACTTTGAGTAAAGACATTGTATATTTATCTTATTAATTTTAAAAACGGACCCAAGTGCTTAATTGCCTATTTTTAGACACTTCCTATTATAATAGAAACGGTACTAAAAGTATGTTGGGTGCTATCGGTGATATGAGTACCTACCTTACCTGCAACTTATCTTAAATCATATCAAAGCAAAGGCCTCCCTATTCTCACATAGAGAAGGGTTGAGCATTAAAAATCACCATGCTTGCTTAAGGCGGAATGGCAATATCAAACTTGCAAGTAGGTAATTAGAAATAATAAATCCAGGTTTCCTCACGATGTTTTCCTTCACCATATACCAGTGGTGTCTAAATAATTATAGAACCCTACATACATACTCGGCAAAGGTCACATTGGTTGCTTGCCAGGTTTCGAACCCGCATCCCTGTATATGAGACGCGGGCCACCACGACACGATCATCTTATCTATTATGTCCATTGTTTTTGTTATGCTATAAGTCGGTAAACGTGCTGACGGATTACCTGATGGTAAACAATCAGTGCCGCTCTTGGACACAACACCAAAGGAGATACGAGTGCGGTATCGGCATTTTGGGGATAAAGGTTGCGGATATAAGGATTGGTCCTCTGATAAGCTCACTCATACGGCGAAACACAATGCTGTTTATTTATTATTGTTGTTTGTTGCATATACTGATCATCCTAAAGTCACATGACACAGATTGTAAAGTGATGTAATTGTCATACAGGCAACCCTGTGTCTGCGTACGTGTGCGCGCTAGTGTTCGTGGTGCGTGCGCTGCGCGTGTGTGTGGGTGCGCGGTCCGCGTGGCCGCGCCTGCGCGTGCGGCTGGCGGCGGGCGCGCAGCTGGACGCGCGCCCCGAGTACGCGCGCGCCTACCTCGAGCTACACGCTGACAGGGACATGCCCTACGCCACCATGCTGGGCAGCCAGGTACACACTGCCACACATGGACAGGGACATTCAGGGCACTCTTTTATATCTATACTGTCTGAGTATATCATACATGTCAGTACAACAAAGTCATTATATACATAGGTTGTCTCAAAGAGCCAATAGACCACCACAGACGAGGCCCTACATGGCTGATGTTCAGCCGGAGTTGCGAAGTAAGCGCAATGAGGCACCGCGGCCTCGGCCCAGAGCAAGAGAAGGAACACCCCCTGTTCCTTCTGTATTTTTAGTCAGTAAGAGTCTGACACATATGGTGACTTTGTTGTACCAAAATTTTGGTGGTTTGTATGCCTCTAGGTATATAATTGAGTACTCTGAATGTCCCTATATAATGTGACGGTGACTGTACTATACCTACACCGCGTTTTCAATTGTCGTCCCATCTAAATTATATTTTCAACTGACTACCAGTGTCTAAATAACGAGTGAGCTTTTCATACCAAACAATAATATTCCGAGTTTTTTTATGGAATAAGAACCAAACGAGCAGATGGATCACCTGATAGTAAGTAATGAGCGCCGCCCATAAACACTTAAAACACCTGAGGAGTCACAGGCGCATTGCCGGCCTTTTAAAAATGAGTACGCACGTTTCTTTCATTTTTACTTAAACATCACGCTAGACACAAACAGAAGCAATTTACTTTTAACTTTACCAACCTAAACCTACAGCTCATTTGATCTCTGAAGTATTACAAGCCAACATACACTGTAAGTCGTTACAATAAAATTTATATTCCCCATACAGTGCAGCAGTCGGTTACTGAGTGCGTGCGGAGCTAACATCCTGCTGGAGCTGCCGGCGGCGACGCCGTCCCTGCAGCGACTGCCCGCCGGAGCCATCGTACCCGCCCTTGTCACCGGCAGGCTCGACATCCACTCATAGAATTAGCTTTACTGTTATCAACTTTATTGCCACTAGATAATATTCTCTTTTCAGTAAATAATACCTTATTGTCACGCAAAATTCAACCTTAGGTAGCCCGCGAAATTTAAATTCCTTTTTTTTATTCACATGCTGATATAGGATAGTTTGATTGTAATGCATGTATTGCCATTGACTGGAAGGTGTCTGGTGTATAATTATAGTAAAACAATGACGTTGTTTAAGTTTGTGTTATATCGATGGTGTTAACAGTTATAATTTGGAAAAAATTACCTTCGCGGGTCATTTTAGGTAAAGAAGGTTTGAAAAGCTTATTGCTGGCATCTGTAGAAATCTCAACTATCGTACATAAGTCTCATTTGTTTATGAGACTTATTAGGCATGTTTTTATGAGTTATTGTGAATCTCAAAACATGCGAATATAACGTATAGAATATGCAGATACTTAGATGTAAGTGAAGAATGTCTATACTATTTTTAGAAATATTGTTTTGTAAGTATGAGTGAAGTGTTAATCTGTAACTATAGTTTTATATTATATACAGTACATAACTAGAAACTGTTGAGTGAGAGAATAAAACATCGCAATTATTCTTGGTGCTGTTTGTTAGAATAATGTTACATATATCAATAAATTGTTTTAGTTACGTTTAGTTCAGTTTATTATTCAGCTATAACAATAACCAACTTGACACAATGTCTTTTGATTCATATGACGATCACAAGGACTAAAGGATGAACATTTTCATTATATTCTATTTCTATAGCATAATATAAAGGGTGCTGCAACAGAACGATTTCTAGAAAAGAATATTCGTGTCAATAAAAACAACAAAATAAAAAGATTTAGTTACAAACAATATTAATTTATTTAGTCATCAAACGCGTAACTACATACAACACTGCACACTGTCCCAATCACACTTCAGATCGCGAAGAATCCATCTCTCGTTCTCCCTCCCATATTTTGCTTTATAAATAGAACGCGCGTGTATGTGGACATGACATGGTATTACGTGGATCAACGATAGTCCGCGCCAACGTGACGTGGGCGCGTGATGCACCCGTCGACCCGAACCAAAATTATCTTGTAGCCCGGTTTTATTTGCAAAGCCTAGTTACTATTTAATAATAACAAGACAATTAGGTAAATACATTACGAAAATATGTTATTTGTACAGATGAATTATCACATTTCATAAACAGACACATAAAGCAAACATCTGGGAGAGAGACTTAAATAAAATATTGGATATATTTCTCAATAAGTATAATTATTATGAAGTGCTTATTATAACTGGTTTGATGTGATGAACAAGGGCTTGAAATTGACTTAAAGATGAAATATATCCTTTCTAAACCTGACTGTGGCTACAAATTTCTGTCATTTTGTAGAAACTTGTAGAAACAGTAAACCTTTTCTGTTCTTACACCACACGTTGGACTTCAAAGAACCTCTTGAGGTAGTAAACTTGTCCGAGAGTCATGACGAGAAGGACGCAGGCTTCGAAAATTGACCACATCACAACTCTTGAGTTTGTGCTCTCGTTGATAGCGCGGTGGATGCGGTCACGTACCTGGTTTGGAAAACGAAGGAAGATTTGAATAGAATTTTTATTTGACAATTTTAATATGAAAAACTTACTGCATTAAAATTGACTTGAATCCCTAAACCACAGGATTACTTACTAGATTTCATTATCTATGTCCAGTTAATTGAATATTATTTAAAAACAAATACTAGGTATATCTATACTAATATTATAAAGAGGTAAAATTTTTAAGTTTGTATGTAGGGGGTAATCTTTGGAACCGCTGGTTGGATTTCCAAAATTCTTTCACAGATTGATAGTTACAATGTTCCTGAGTGCTATAGGCTATAAAACATCACGCTTCGATTAAATGGAGCTGAGCACCCGGTGAAACCGTGCAAGAGTAGCTAGTTACACATACCTGCATGTACTCTTGTTCATTTTTGACAGTTTTGAGTGTGGTTGCAAGCTCCTTGATCATGTCCTCTAACTTGTTGTGGTTCACATCCTCCTCTTTGCCAGCAGGCTGGCCTTGAGGTGCTACTCCAATCTCCAAGTGGAACATTACAACCTGTGGACCAACATATTTATGTTTAAACAATACAAAGCTTTATTGTATTCAATATTTTAAGGCTGGGTTTTGAATGGTTTTGATGAGATAAATACTGTTGTATTTTGATTGTTATAAATAATTAGATTTAGATTCCAGGAAGAACTGAAAGGGAAAATATGAATGATAATTTGCAATGCATGTAAGTTGTTATTTTTCTAAACTCAAATTATAAACTAGCATGTATGTAATGTATGACATTTAACATCATTTGGGTCTTGGGAGCTTGACTACATTTTTAGGTGCTAAAGAGTAAATTATACTGTTAATTCAATTATTCTTATTGGACTCATTCTAAATTGAGGTATTCAAATAATGTTTCAATACTGTGTAAGTACTGTAGGTATGTTGCTATTTTACGCCTTAAACATGCATATTATTAAGTCATAATTTTTGTCATAATATAGCTAAAACATCACCAACCTTAGGTGTCATAGTAGACATCTTATTACTGAAGCAGTAAGTGTATCGGCCAGATGTAGGGGCTGAGAATGTGTACATTCCTGATGACTCCCGCTCTCCCTTGTATATGACAGCACCATCAGGGCCAGTGATTGTTACATCTATGTCTAGGAAACCACCTTCTGCTATTTCAAATGTCAGACCTGAAACATATTAATTTAAAATTAATATAGATTTCTATTTTTTTTTATTTTTTTTTAAACTTTTGTTAGTTAATTCGAGTGTAGAAAAAACTTCTCCAAAAGAATCTAACATAAAATTGTTATGGTAATGTTTTTATATCATAACTGTAGCAAGATTATTATCTTGACACCTATTAGTAATAATTACAAAGAGCTACAAGGTGTGTCAACTGCATCTCTTATTAGAGAATGTAGATCTACTAAGAATTAGGTTACAAAGAAAATCAATTGTAAGATTTATCTAACTACTGATCTATGAATAAAGGCAGTCTTGTCAAAGATAACTGATAACAATACTTATCACCGGAGTATAGATTCTATATCACCGGCGTTATACACTGCACAGACATTTTAATTATGATGTTTAAAGATTAAGCTCTTTAACTAATTGAATCAAACGTAAGCACTACTGGGGTGGTAAATCACCGAAAAACTAATATTTATCTATTTATGAATAGTACTAAATTAATGAATCCTTACCCATTTTAGTATCTGCTTCAACATTTTCGAAAAAGCACTCCTCGGCATGGGCATCGACTGTGATGGTATAACAGTTTCCTGTGTGCAGTAATGTTGCCGCTAATAATACGGTGAAACTAAGCGATCTCCAAGAACTTTTCATTTTGTTAAATAGAAAATAATTTGCCCTAAAATATTTCTTAAATCAAAAGCAGAACATACGCTTGTTTTCCCTACGTGAAAGCCAAAGCCACGTAATTTGACAACTCACTACATGACAAGTTGTAATTTTTTGACAGCCGTCAATGATGCGTTCAATTATCTAATAAAATGTTTTTCATGGCGTTACTAAAAAATATTAATTTATTAATAAAACATATAATCAGAAATATGTTTCACATTTAATAAGTATTTTGAAAGAGAATTCATAGAACTTTACACTATTTTATCGTACACTAACAAGTTTTTGCTATTGGACAACAGATGGCGCTGCATTTAAATGATCGATGATGGTAGGTGGAACAGCCGGGGTTGCGGGTCGAGCCGAGTCAATTGCAATAATGTACATCGGCCTGAACCTGGAGCGGGAGAAGGAACGGGATGGTTTACATAAGGGATCTGAAATACCCTCTTAGTAACATAAGTCAAATGATGATGAAAAAACAACGGTTCATCTAAAACCGCGCTTCATTGCAACGAATAATTATAACCCAAATACGTGCCAATATTTATTTATTTATTTATATGGAAACTCAACAGCTTATTATTAATTTACATGAGTTCTGAGTGTTCACTTCACTATCAACGAACAGCTTAAAGTACTTACTGAACAGTGATAGCAAAATGATGACAAAAATTATCTCAAGCCAATATTAACAGAGTCTCACGACATTAAAGAGGACAAATGCAACTAGAAGTGGGAAAGTGGATAAAAGACTTCTTGTTCCAGGAAAAATAAGACGATTTATTTATCGTAGATACCATACCTTACTATAACTTGTCTCACTTTTATTCTCCGATGGGTTAGGTAGCGTACATTTACCAGATTTTTTATGATTCCCATATAAATAGTCGAGCTGGCTGTAATAAAACTGTAACAAGATATACTAAATAAGATCTCAAAAAGCCAAAAAGACCCTCCCGTACATTGCCCTACACGAGAACTCGGGATTTCTTGTGCGCGACTCGTGCTTACACACCGCAATTCAAATCGACTTTTTACACTTAAGTAGGTACTTTGACATCTTTATTTACCATGAGTTATATTTATGCACCCGGATTTTAGCAAGTCGCGCCATATTGCTGCCTATTCTCAATTACTGTTAATTAGCTACCTCCTTAATTTTGCCATACACGGTGTGCCTGGTACCGTCCTACATAAAGTAAACAATAAAGCGTTAATGTGTTAGCTATATGAAGGAGGTGCTAAATGTGACGTATAGCTGTATGCTATACTTATTTATATAATTTGAACAAATCACAAAAAGTTTTCTTATGATCAAGAACGGTCAGCAGTAATTTTTATCTATTTCATTCATAAAACGAATAAAAATAGTTTTATATTGTAATTCACGAGTTTTAGTTTCATTATATAGGTACCTTTGTGTTTGTGTTTTTTAGGAAATAAATAGATTTTTAATTTTCATTTATACTCACGTACCTAATTTTAAATGTGTGTAATTTAAATTGAATTACGCGGTTCAAGTACAAAGTTTATAAATAAAACTGTATATAAATAACGCTTACTTAATTAACATAATTATAAAAAACCATTATATTTATTTTGATTATAAATTTAGATAAACGTCATCATACAAATCTCACGTTTTTTAACATGCTAAAGCTTATAACTGGAAATTAATATGTTTTAAAATAACTACCTAGGTACCTAAATTTGGTAAAGCAGCGATTTATGAACACTAAGTACTTATTTGTGTAAAATATTTTAGAATACCAACAGATTTAGCACATGCTGTATAAATGGTTAAAATGAAACACAATAAAATAACATAGTGCCCCGACATATTTAGGGGCATGTATTTAATCCCAAAATATCACAATTATAAAAGTATTAAAACAAATTACCTTACTCTATTGATAACTTAAAACTCCTATTTATTACTAACCTAAAAATAATAATACGGTTATGTCTGTACACACTGGCTTTCAGGCTGACATCGACTTATAGGTAAAATCGTTATTTAGTAATAAAACGTCCAGAATTATACACCCAAAATCAATTTTTGGGAAACCACAGAGTGAGGTTGCCAGCTTGTAAATCTCCTAGTGTCGTACGGAAAAATTTTAATCGATATCAAGTTTCCTGAAAGCTCCTACAGTGCCGTAAATTTCGACATCGTTGCTAGGGGTTTTCGCAGTACTGCAGGCTTCGTTGAAGATGCGCAGGTAGGGGCTGACCTCGTCGATACGACGCCTCCATTTCTTCGCCAGAACATCGATGTTTTCTTCTTCCCCTCCCCATTCCCTCGGCAACACTTGTGCGGGAATGTGTTCCAGTAGTTGTTCCACTTTCGGATGTAAGTAATACTGTGAAAATTCGTATCATTAGATATACTGTAAAATTTATCTACAAAAATGAGACCGACATGTATTTGTTCACAGTTGCCAATTAAATATCTACTTAATATATTAATAGTGTCTACCGGTATTCGACACAGATACATAATATTTACTTGATGTTAATGTGCGACTTTTGAATAAGTTTGCCCCACAGATTCGAATACAAGTTAATATTCTATGTTCAGAGTTATTTCCTTATGTGTAGGCGGCAGTTTCCGTATGTAGGTACGTACTCGACTAGGTAGATGTTATTATATCTTAAGGTAATATGAATGTAAAGGGAAAGGGAGAAAGACGCCATTGATGTTGATGTTCAGCCGGGGTTGCAAGATAAAGGCAATAAGGCACCTCGGCCTAGACCCCGAGCAGAAACGGGGGGTTTTTAGTCAGTAAGAGCCAAGAGTCTGTCACTCCTTCCCACATTGGGCGAGAGAAGTCATTTGATGGTTTTTCTTTTAAATAGTAAAGGGAAATTTCAAAATTACTATTTTAAGTAAATTGGAATCACTTACTCGTCTTTTGATCTTTTCGTTCACACAGCTGCGCATGAGTGCGAGGGAGGAGGCGAGGAATGGTGGGGCGCCCACCACGTGGATCCTCTTCAGCCTTTGAGGGTATGCAGCCTGTGCCAGCTGGATGGACCGTCTCACCGCGTTAGCAGCAGCTGCTACGTGAGCCACGACCGAGCCACGCACATTTGATACCTGAAATACACCACGTTAGATTTTTGTTGTCTTTTTAACTCCATTACCTACTAAAATTTTTAGGACTATCACTGACCTCATAAATGAATACGTCTCCCGCAATTTGATGTTCATCGTACATTCTGACGTCACTAGTTAGTAGCACAGCTCGGACCGCGTTGGCCACGTCTGCCGAGCCCTCAGGGTACTCCGCTCGTATTCTGAATATCGTGATCCGGTATCCTTCGTCTGTGAGTTTTGGTAGTACTACTATGTCCCTGTGTGAAAATAATATGATTTTACTTAGGTACAAGTTTTATTTATTTATGTATAAGTTGTTTCGTTGATTTGTACAATCCTGAGTAACTTACTGATAAGTAAATAAATGTAGATTTTGTCTATGCCTATTAAATACAGCTAGGAACTTGGAAATAATAGTGTGTGTGTGTGTGCCTGTGTAGTGTGCTGAAAATGAAATAAATATGGTCTTACATGAACTTGCAAACATCGTTGAGAGGAGGACATGTGAGGGAGCGCTGTTCGTAGAGGTCTCGGAAGCGGGCCCGTGCCAGGCAGTACGCCTCCAGCTTGGAGCGAGCGCGGTCCAGGTCCATGCGACATCCTCGCACGAACAGCTCCAGGACGCGTTTATCTGTAGACAAAAAATAACATGACATTAAAGAAAGTTGCCGTCCAATCACGAAGAAGAAATTATGGAAATTATTTTTAAATTTCTACATCAGAAAAATCTACTCTTAGCGTGGGCTAGTTAAAGTTTGGTTGTACCTATTGTTGACCTTTGAATTACTTAGATGTAATAATTCTGGTGAAGTATATGTCCGCTAAAAGAGGCGTTATAGGGGTAACCGGGTTGTCCCAACCATATTTCTTTAACAATCATACATAAGAAATTGTTCTGAATTCTTGGTGGCTGCGATACCAGGCAACTGTCAATGGTTTTTAGCATTATATGCACTTTTTATGTGTCCGAAGAAATCTGGACTTATTATTTCATAATTTCTAATTATAGTCCATGTAAGAAGAGGCCTTTGCCCAACAGTAGGCACTTATAGGCTAAGATGTGATGTGATAATAAATGTTTATACTATTATTATACGAAACATGATAATTTTATACGAATATTCCCAATAATATGCGTAACACGTCACAATTACTCACATAGCACACATGGAAGTTTCTGTTATTTACAGTGTACACACAACGTGTGACGAACATTACCTAGTTGCGTTTGTTATTCAATAATTTGACAAATGCCAAGCCTCTGTATGAGTTGCCTGTATATAAGTCTATAATGATTCTAGATTATATTAGCTAATCCTAGATTTTAAGTTTGAACAGTGACATTGGCTTTTTAAATCCATAATAAATAATATAGATGTAACGGGATCACGAAGTCCAGTTATTCTTAATTACTTAAGGACTAAACGTTTTATTACCTAGTAGGTACCTATTCAAATAACAAATACCAACACGAAAATTTAGATTGTAGAAGTTACAACCTAATTGAGTCCGATGTCTGTTGTGGCGCCTTATGATAGATGTATCCATGTTTTAATAAGTATGTCATCAACTACATATTAGGTACTAAATACTATACCTACATATTGTGTGTTTTATTTCATTTCTATAAATTTCATCGCAAGTGTTGATCACACGCTTGCGTCACAATCTAAGCACCTACTTATTTAAATCAGCATTTTATTGTCACTTCCGTAATTGTAGCAATAATATCATATTGAGGAAAATAAGTACCTTCAACTTATAGATATATACAAGCTCGCTTACGTATATGTACATGCGTGTAGGTACCTACATACCTAATAGACACAGGTAGTGAGCGAGAAACAAGATATTAAAACAAAATCAGATTTCCCGTACCGTCAAGGCTACACTCTGCTAGATTTGCATTTGAAAAACGACACTTTAACTCTGAAATCGAAATCAAAATCTCGGTAGGTGACATTACAATCAATATATTGTAAACACTTTAGTAAATTTTCAAAAAGAAAATAAAACACGATATTATTTGTTTACTCACAAAAGAAAAACAATATTATTACCTATGTTATCATGGAAAATAATGATAATCGTACCTACGCGTATCTATGTGAAAAACAAAACAAATATCAAGGTTGTAACCTGATGTTAATCAACGCCACAAAATATGACGGACCAGTTCAACCACCGCACTTTGTTTTACATTATTTTCCTTTTCCTAAAAAAAAACTGTTGATCATCGCCTATTGTTCCGCCGCAAGACTTGTAACACCGGTTTCCGCATCTTTTCAATCTACTGGGAAATCTATTTTAAAAACAAGTTTAAAAATATTCCAGCAATTTAGTGTAATTACTGTTATTTTAACTAACTATTGGTACTGCTGTTAGAGTTAACTAAGTGTTGTTATTTGTATTAAATTTTATTACGTCGTCGTTAGCAAAACTATAAGTAACTAGTTGTTATATGGTCAATGTGTAGTACCTAGGTAAGTAATTAACTAAATTTAAACAATCTTGGCAAGTCTTTTTATCTAAAAGTGTGTGAACATTTTATATAAAAATGTTACAATCACGCATAATTTAGCTAAATCGATTTTAGCTTCTTTTTTTTTGTGAGGGGAAAATCATCAAATGACTTCTCCCGCCCAGGGCCTGGCGGGAGGGGTGTCAGACTCTTACTGGCTAAAAACCCCCCTGTTCCTTCTCCTGCTCTGGGCCGAGGTCGCGGTGCCTCATTGCGCTTACCCCGCAACCCCGGATGAACATCAGACCTATGGGGCCCCGTCTGTGGTGGTCTATTGGCTCTTTGAGGCGCGCGCAGAACGCTACGCGCCGTAAGCTCGAGAAATCGATTTTAGCTAAGGATAAAAATTTAAATAATCTTTGTATGTATTTTATACGACCTCTTTAATATAAAAATACATAGGTAGGCACCAATATTGTTTACCTTTAGGTAAACATCAGTGCCTATAAATATCATAAATAAATAACATTACCTAAATATTTTCTCGAATTTGGGAAAATCCTATACATAAATATTAATCATCTGGTATATTTTTATGAGAACGTTATTGTCAGTTTGACTGTCTGACCTACGACGATTTGTATGCAAATCATGTCTTTGCTAATTTGTCTCCAGATTGAAAACCAGTCCCGTAACCTACAGGCATAATTTTAAACAAGTGGCCTAGTCCTATTCATGATCTCCTTTCTAAACCTTTATACTATGTACTAGTTAGTTTGTATCCACTAGCATTAACTCTAAACTTGGTACTAACGTGCGGGACATGTCATCAGGACCTCATTAACTCACCTCCCCTCCCCCCACCAGTTCCAAGATAATGAGACACTCAATCTTCAACTACCATACACCATAACAAGCTCCTTACATATAATTACACGAGTATCAGTGTTAATAGTTTTGCAATTATACTTTTTAACTAACTTGGTCAAGGAACGTCGCCTGCGCACGTAATTTTGCGTAGATCAACGTGCGTTAGCGCATGGCGTAGGTATTAGAATGCACTCGTCGTTTGGGCGCTGTGTGAGGAAACATTCTGGTGATGAACTGCCATTGTCTAAAACAATGGCGGGGATAAATTATGTCATTTCACTTCGCTTTACATGGATCCGTGCGGCGCGTGATTACATTCATTGATGAGGCAGCTGCGTGAATTCGGTCACTGTTGCGTAGGGCACACGATCGTTATTCTAACCGCAGGCAGTTACTGCATATTACTTGTCATTACGTCTTATTGGATAAGTTATTATGTGGCTTTTAATATTTTTTATTACTGGCATTTAACGGTTTATTAGGTACCTACATCCATTTACAGGGAAGTAATAAATTAGCAAATAATGTAACGTAGCTACAGTTTCATACCCTTTTTTTGAATGGAAAATAATCAAATGACTTCTCTCTCGCTCAGGGTATTATGAGGGGTAGTGTTGATTAACTCCCGTTCCATCTCCTATTAGGCTAAGGTCGCGGTACCTTATTGCACTTGCCCGGTGCCCCGCAACCCAGGCTGAACATCGTGACTGCTCCAAGCTTTATACCCCGTGATTAGGAGGATGAGGTACCTACCTATTGAACAATACTCCCTGACTAAAATTACAACCATTAAGGAGATTTCAACCATGCAGGTGTACTGCTGAGCAATGGCATCTTCTCACACAGAGAAGCATCTGTGTGAGAAGATGCCTTTGCTCGGCAGTGGGCACTTATAGGCTCATGATGATGATGATGAACCATACAGGTACTTTTGTCCTGAAAATAACTTGTAACGCAGGTAAGTAACGGTTGTTTTCCTTATTTTAGTTGACGCTTAACAACTACAAATGAGTTAGTATTTTATAATCGGTTTGCGTCTGAACCTACTTACTTCAATCCTTGTTACGTAATTACGTTTAGTACAGGTTTGTGAGATAGAAATTCTTGTGCTAATTTAATTGAGTTGCAAAATATCACTTGCAGTTCTGCAATTTCATTTTCTGTGTCTTAATACTAAATACTGTTTCCAAACGAGTAACGTAAATTCTTGTGTTCATTTCCTCTTGCTTTAATTTATCTAAGTACCTAGGTAAATTGAAACTTTAGACAGTTTATATGTATGCCACTATAGCTATCATGCTCACGCGGTTTTACCCGCTGCTCGACTCATCTCCTACAGATCGTAACATGATGTTTTATAGCCTAAAACCTTCCTCGATAAATGGACTAACGAACACAAAAAGAATTATACAATTCGAAATAGTAGTTCTGGAGATTAGCACGTTCAAACAAACGAACAAACAAACTCTTCAGTTTAGTAGGTAATTAGTATACCTACATGAGAAGAAAATGCGTGCTCTCAGTAAATCACTAGGTAGGTATATGTCAGTTGGTACGTTGACATTGTTACCCAAAATTCATTTCACGCCATAATTTTTTTTTTGGAGTTTATGGCCTGGATACTAGTCTTTTAAGCCAAGTCTTTTATCCCGCCATAAAAAAGCACAATAGGGTAAGTTCCAACTTGTCAAATTCAATTTTTTTTTCAAAACGTCACACTCATTCGCATACGTATTTTTTATGAAATGGCGAACTGTGACGTCATTATAGTCAATTGGTTTACGTGGTTAAAAGTAAACAATCTTGGTAGGTAGCTGTAGGTATGTCTTTTTATAAAAAAGAGGTCGTTTCAAATGCAAACCTACCTACAAAGATTATTTAAATTTAGTTTTTAGGTACCTACCATCGATTTAGGTAGAAACCTAATTGTAAACATTTTTACATACATATGTATACCTACCTAGTTTTTAGATAAAAATACATGTCAAGATTGTTTACATTATTTTAGTTTTACCTAAACCGATAAAGCATAGGTATTAGGTACGTCAAATAACATACTTTTGAGTGTAGAACTTACCTCATCATTACCTATTAAGTACCTACCTCATTGGTGAGATAACCGAATAAGTACCTAACTAAGTAATTACTTAAAAAACATTTTCTCATAGATTTATGATAAAAAGTTTTTTAATGAGAGTTCAGAAATGTAAGATAAGACACACACACACACACACACACACTATGTATACCTCAAGTTAAACAAAAAGTTTTTGGTAGGTACCTACCCTGAGTTTAATTTA